ACTATTGTGTTTCTCCTCAACTTTCTGAGAACACAGCAGCATTAAGAATCACATACGAAAAAGAATGATATCTAAAAAGCGGAAAATTCCAAGATTAACAGTATATTATTTCTTTTGTTTTCAAACTTTTTTTAAATTAAATTACATAAAGGTTCATAAGTTAGATGGAAGGATGCTTATATGTGCTTTAAACCATACCGTTAATTTATATCAGTTCACTACCACAACAACAACAACAAAACAAAACCTTGTAGCTGAATGAATTACCCAACTAATATGTGTCCATATAAACCTAACAATATGTATCTACTGTTGTTTTTTGTTGGTTATATAGATTCTTAGTTTTACGGTTACTCATTATATACTTTTTAAAGGGTTCTGATTTTTTTTAAAAAAATTGTAAGTAGTTTAAATTTTGACCTAATCTTTTATTTGGGAACAGTAATATCTTTAAAACATCTTAAAAGTATTGAGACTAAAATATTTGTTAGTCAAAATATATATCTGCGTTATGTAACATATATATCCCCAAAAAATATATATATATATATATATATATATATCCCACGTCAAAAAAAAGACAACCGATAACTTATAGCTGGATTTCATGTGTACTAGCTTGCAATGAAGTTTCCACGTCTTGAATTAAATCATTTTCTTCTTCTAAAGGTTAATGATACTAATGCACTATGTTCTAAAAATCGGCGTCTATTTGCTAAGCGATCCTCTTCCGCTTCAATTTATGTCAAATTGCTATAGAAAATCGATCATCTTATTTTAACTCGCTTAGATGACTGCCTAGCTGTCTAGACGGTAGCCTAATTTATTTTTTTATCTTTTTAGTTATTTTTTATATTTTTAATAATATTTTATCTGTTTATTTGATCTAAAATTTAATAAATATAACTTATCATTATAATTTTTATGACAATTATATCATATTTACTTATATATTTTATTTGTATGTTTTATAAGATTCTAAACATGAAAATATATTAATGTTATACATAATTAAAAATTAACCTATTTCATAACATATTAAATAATCTAAAAATTTCGTCATGTTTAATATCCGGTTAATCTTCGATTTTCTCTATAGATGCTAGGTCCAATCGAACCGTCCGACTGGTTTCTAGCGTGTTCTTCAACATGGCTTTGATCGATCTTATAGTCTTGTCTTGATTCTAGTATATACAAAAGAACTGAAAAGACCTATTTGTGAATAGCCAAAAAAAAGTATTAACTAACCTATAAAAGTAGGAGGAGACTTGTTCAACCCAAAAGATAGCCAATTTTTTAGGTTTGCTAAAAAAATTCCAAGACAGACACCTAAATAATGTCAAAAGTGTTCATGGGAATTAATATCAAACTGTCCACTATTTCTGTTAGTTTATTATTTAACGCTTACACTGTTTAAGCAAGTGGATGGTGAATTCATTTTACGCGAATTTAAACATAATTTTTTTTAATAATCTTTTTTACATTTAACCCTCTCTTTCTCTCTGTCCACTCAATGTAAGCAAAAAAAAAGGAACAGTTAGTGAGTTACTATTACACAACCGAAGCTTCTCACCTCACAAGTCACATGATTGCATGACACCACTACCATAACTCACTCAAGTTCACTTAGATGATAGCAGTAGAATAACTAAATGTAGAAATTATATTGACTTGTTATAACGTGAAACTACATGTTTCTAACCTAAAAACTACATATATAGAGTGCGTTAAAGCTTACAAACTTTTGTACATAATTATATATAATATACGTATGGATGAATGTAAATATAGGGATAATCATATATATATATATATATATATATATATATATATATTTGTAGACACCATATATTACGTTTTGTTACAACGAAGAAGTATTAAACTTTACCATAGTTTAGAAGATTTGAGTTTCACACTTTAATCATAACTTCTTATTTGAGAAACTACTATACTTAAGAACATTCTTTAAACACTAAATATTCGGAAACTATTCTCTCATTCTTATAATAGCGTTGAAATAGATCAAACCTGTGAGTCAAATTTTGATAGAACCCCCAAGTTTCCGCGTACCGTAGCTCCATTTGCGCTTTGAGGAGTTATCCAAGAGCCACTAGCCAGAAACTCACATTACATAGACATTTCAACGTTATTCATTAATTAAAACTTTCTGCAACTACATAATATTTCAGCGTCGTTGAAATATTAGATTTTCCACTTCATAATGACGCTCAAGAAAATAATTGTCGTCAATGAAACATGATTTTGATATGAATACATATATATTATTTGTTAAATAAACATATTTAGGCTATTGTATTGTAGTATCGTAATCTCTTAATGTTACAACATAAAATTTTGATCGAGTTTTCGCATCTCGGATTTGATTTGCAGCTTCTTTTGAACGTCTTAAACATTTACAAGTTGTTTTGATAAATTTGACCAAACGCTCTTATTGATGGGCCACATCTTCTAGTTGTTACAGTAATTGACAATGGGCTCAATATTTATTGATGCACTAAATCTATCTAACGGTGATTGAATTTACCCGTTTAGGCCTTTTCGTAGCGAAGGTTGAATCTTGAAAAGAAAAATTTTGTAGACAAAGGTTGAATCTATTACACGACACTTTAATATGATAGGAAAATATATGTATGGTTCTGCTTTGGTAAGGTCGGCTTTAGGCTCATATACATTGTTCTATATTGGTCTCGCAGATTGGCTAAAATATGCCCAAATAATCAAAAGCCCACTACCCCTAAGTAGTGTCTTTTTCCCAAGTGAATTTAATTAACGAAAACAGTATCTTTTATTCACATAATTCATACCGTAATAAAGGTTCTAATTTGCTCTTTCGCAACCGTACCGCTATTGAACTAGGTTAAGGGTCATCTTCTCTATCAAAAGAGAAGTACCATTTATATCTACTACAAAAAGTCATGTTGGACTATCTCATTAATATGACACTAGATCTTGACCCGCGCACCGGCGCGGGTTTAACTTAATTTGGGAAAACATAATATACTCATAAATCATCGGTTATTAACGTGTTTCAGAAACTGTAATCGTATTGAATGTAATGAGACTGAAGTTTGGTTTTGGGTTCAACTTTTATCTATATATATTGATTTGCATCCGGTTCGTTTTTTTGGTTTGATATGGGTTTGGTAACAATTATAATAAATGACTAATATCAGATAATTTTTTGGTTCCAATATGATAACGGTTTGGTTACGATTTCTAGAGTTAATTTCAGATTAATCGGGGTAAAACTGATTTTGGGGGAGGAGAGGTGTTTCGGATAAATATCAAGTTACGAAAATAAAATTTTAATATTTGAGTTAAAACTATTCAAGTATTTTATGTCTTTATGATAATTTGAATAATGTAAAATACTTTAAATAAAATATATTTGAGTATTAAATTATTTAAAATGTAAATTGTTATTATCTTAAAAACTGATGTTATTTTTAATTTAGTCAACAATAAATAAAATTGAATATAGTCTTTATATAATATATAAACTAAAAACACAAATTACTATAATGAGCCAAATGATTAAAGCCAACCATAACATAAAATAAATTAAACAAAAGCCCAATTATTCTATTATAACAATGTTTAAAAGCCCAATTCTATTAAACTTATAGCCAAACAACATTAAACTATTACTACTATTTAAGTTTCCAAACAAACCTAAAGAGTACTACAACTTTAATATGATAGATTTTTAATTTAGTCAACAATAAATAAAATTGAATATAGTCTTTATATAATATATAAACTAAAAACACAAATTACTATAATGGGCCAAATGATTAAAGCCAACCATAACATAAAATAAATTAAACAAAAGCCCAATTATTTCTATTATAACAATGTTTAAAAGCCCAATTCTATTAAACTTATAGCCAAACAACATTAAACTCTTTATTACTACTATTTAAGTTTCCAAACAAACCTAAAGAGTACTACAACTTTAATAAGATAGATATTTAAGTATTTATGTTAATCAATCAAATATATATAATTGGATGAATATTTTAATAATAATAGGATATTAGTAATAAATTTGTTGAGAAAATATCTAACAAGATCTTACTAATAAGTTTAAATATTTTTATAATATATGCATTATTTAATTTTGTGATTAATATATATAAATATTTATATTAATGTTAATTAAAAATAAAAATTGTTATATTTTATAATTTAGTTATATTCTGTATTATATTAAAATAAAATTATATTTGAAATGAATATAAAATATATTTAATTGGTAAAGAAAAATATTTTATTTTAAAAAAATTTATTTTATTCAAATAAATAAATAAATATCACTCCCTTTTAAAACATATTAAAGTTTTTAAATTATATATATTTTTATACAAAAATGTTAACATATATTTTTGTAACTCACAACAATTTTTTATGAATATTTTTTTTTATTTGAAAACTTACAACAATATATTATATAAAAATAATTAAAATTATAAGATTATACAATTATACAATATATAACAATAAAATATAAATTATATATATTTGAAATGTTTTGTTATATTTTTATAAAATGGAAAATACCCGCACGAATGTGCGGGTTCAAAATCTAGTGCTCAATTAAATGATAGGATTAAGCTTTAAATTAAAGCAAAAAAATGGATTGGACTATTGTCAAAAAAAAAGATTGGATTGAAAGTAGGCCAGATTTAGATGGACTGAGCTGAAAGTGGGCTGGGTCGAACATGACTTTAAAACTTATCAATATTATTTTGTGGATCAGTGCCCTAGATCTCTATGGTCTGGTGCATGTATTCGACGAATATTTGGTTAGTTAGCGGTATGTTGGAAATTATTTTATTTATTTTTGAATAATTCTTTGGAAAATTCCCGGGAACAATCATCTGCGAGGATCCAATAATATGTTTTTGTTCTCGCAAATTCTCTTTGGTTATTGTAAAAATAGACGCCAAAATTCACTTCTTAAAAATATTTTACTAAACGTTAATAACATCGTATGAGCAAATGTATTTTAATGTTAACGCCAACGCAAAATAGTTCTAGTACTCCATTTATTGGTTTGTAATTTGTAGCTACGACCAAGCATGTAAACAATGTAGTAACCATCAAATTACCCAAACATCTGGTTTCATCACAATAAACCCAACAAACGATAGAAAATACTTATGAAATGCTGATAAAATAAATATTTTAAAAACAACAAATAAGACCAAAGATCATATGTAGTTTCGTCATCTTTACTCCTCGGCCTTCTCGGCGGCGACTTCACCAGCAGCCACAACTTCCTCTGCCTCAGCCTTCTTCTCCTCCTCCACAACCACCGGAGTTTCAGTCACCTCCTCCTTCTCTTCTGTCTTTGCCTCCTCCGCAATCACCGGAGTTTCTGTCTTCTCTTCTTCCTCCTCTACCTTTGGCTCCTCTGGTTTCTTCTCAGTTTCTTTCTCTGCCTCTTCCACAACCACTTCTTTGCTTGTTTCTACGACTGATGCTTCGGATTCTTGTTCAGTTACGGCGGCTGGAGCAGGAGCAGACTCCGTCGCGGCCACGACTTCTTCTGTAACCACAACTGGCTCCTCCACTGTCTTGGTTGGCACCTCAACGTTCTCTGCTGCTGGAGCAATCACTTGTTCAACCTGGAAGCAAACACACGCTTAATATTAAAATCATTTTGCTCATGTTGGTAGACATTATACATGATATGTATATATGTACGTAAGCTGATCATCTGAATAAGTATAAATAACTAGTTCTTAAATCAAATCTAACTAACTTTTAACAAATCATTTAAGGTAGAGACTGGAGTCTGATTAATAAAAATAGAAGTTAATAAGTTAAGATCATACGTCAACGTTGGCCATTTCGAAATGAGAAAGGTAGTGAAAAAGGAATAATATAAAGAAAACGAGAAGAGAAGAAATAATGTATGTGATGCTTTGGTGAGTGAAGATGTTTGGTCGAGGAGAGCTATTTATAGTAGAAGCAATTGCTTTACAATTGTTTTTAATATATATGTCAAAAATATTTTATTTTGTCTACAATGTTATTAAAGAATCATGATGATGAATATTGCACATGGAAGCATCTTTTCGTTATATAAAAGTGTTTATGCTCTAATTTCCACCTCATGCCACATAGATATTGTTATCACGTAGCTATTACTCGTCAAGTTGTGAAAAAAATTATTAGAAAAAGTTGAATTGTTATATATTTTCGACTATTTACGAACTTGAATTAAATTTTTCATAAAAAGTAATTCTGTTTTACAAAAATTAATTAAGTATTATATGCAGAGGAATATTTTGAGAAGTGTTTCTTTTGCTTCTGATGTGGCTCAGTAAACGTTACAACAAACCTTTTCGTTTGACCAACGTTGATCTCGTATAAAATTATACGTTACAAACAACGTCTCATGTTACCGTTCTTAAACTCTTTTATATAATTTCAGTCAAATTTGCATTGATTAATGCCTGCTAGGTAGCAACTTTTTTTGTTCACACTAAAAGTGCTACCTTTGGTGTATTGATTGGCCAAATGATCAATGTTCTTTTCACTTTGTGTGACAATGAACCCTATAATATAAAACCTTGCTTTCGTAAACTATGGATGTTGACGTTTTAGCAGCTCTATATGTTTTAATTTTTGTCGAGTCGTTGTTGTGGGGACTAGATTTTCCGGTAAAATTTAATTGTGATCGTTTCGAATTTAAACCAAGCATCGTAACTATACATTGTGAATGAACTTGAACAAATATATATAGACAGCGAAACGGTAACTCCAAATTATGTTTGGATTGTTATTAACCTTTTGATTTTTCCACTAAGTAACGAATGGTAGAATAGCTAAAAATTGTAGATGAAAGCATATCGAATTTATAGTTCTTTAGGGGAAAAGGGACAAGTATTGCAAGTTCCTGGATACATATTTATACATTCAGCTATGATATTTTAATTTCCACATTTATATTGATAAAATGACATTTGGAGTACGGGGTGGTGACGGTATAGTTTTTATAGACTTCTTATTAAATATATGAAAATAATCAAATAAACAGTATATATTATTTTACTAAACAAAGAAAAAAATCAAATCAAAAATAATGGCCCAGTTGAATTTTGGTGAAAATATATTTTGGAGAATAAGAACCCTTGAATAAAATTTGGAGGTCACATTATTTAAGTATTCAAAAATCAAATCATTATGTTTTCAGACTTTACTGTAATAAACTTGACTTCTCCTACAATTTATTTCTGTTTTCCGGATTTAAAAAACTAATGTGGTATGAAAAATTACCTGCCATGAATGAACGAGGATTAAATAAAGACCATGATGTGAACCATTTTTATCATGACTGCGATCGATTATTGTTGAGAATGCAATATTTACTATTTTTCTTTTCACGATTTTTGATCATGTGAACTATTAATGATTTCCTTTTTTCTTTTAATAATTATATTTTATTACAACTTAATAATCATAACTAGTGTGTTTGATTATAAGGGTTCCTTCCCACGTAATTAGTACTACTGCTCTATTTTAAAATCGATACCATAATTTGATTACTGAACGACGTGGTTACAAGATCAAGCGGGCCCATGTGAGTGTGAGCCAGGTAGGATTCCTCGTGAATGTGTACCCACGTACACGAGTTTACTTCATCTCCTTCTTGGTTTGGTTTAAATAGACCCATCCGAGAGGACAGCTATAAGCATAAATAGTAAAAACAAAACAAAATAAATGAAACATATCAACAACTATCTTTAACTATATTTTCTATTATAAGCATAAATAGTAGAAACAAAACAAAAAAATGAAACATATAAACAACAATTATCTTTAATAATATTTTATATTTTAATTTTCTTATTATCTTCTTATATTTAATGCAATTTTTTACTTCTTATGTTTCATATTAAATGTCATTATAGAGAAATTTTTCGTTATAAAATAAATATCGTTTTCGGTTTTCAATATAAAAATTTTATTTTTATTTTGTAATTTATTTTTCCATTCGTTAAAATGTGTTTAGTTGTATAGATATTATGTTTTTATATAGAAAATATACAAAATTAATTGTTACTTTAATCCGTGTATATAAATCTGAAATAACACTTATAATAAAATAGATGAAATAATATTTTATACAAATGGTTTAATGTGAAAATATATGTATGTTTGGTTAGCGATATATTGTAACTTTGGATGGTAGATCATTGAAAAGAAAATTTATTTTTCTCAACTGTTCATATAACTTAGAACAAGTAATGGTCAAGGGAATCAATTTTCCGTACAAAAATAGACAATTAAATTAATCAGTTTATCGACTATGGTTAGGTTTTAGTTTTGGAAATATATGGAACAAACTTTCAAATATACTTACACAATCTGTAAAGATGGCCAGCAGAAAAGCTGATAAAAGGAGTTGGACGGCTAAAATGACCCATTACTGGGTCCCAGTTCTTGTATTATTTCTGTCTGAAAATAACTAAAGGTAGTAAAACGCATCAATAATGCATAAAGGATGCTGTTACAAAATTGGAACTCTTAGGCAGATGAATGAAATAAAACAAGACATATATCATATGATATCTTAGAAATAAGCTAATTCCGAATGTTATTTTTTTTTTGAGAAAAACTGAAGATCAATGCTGATCAAAGGAACTTACATTCTCTTAACACAATAATGCATCCATAACTATCTTAGAAGTTCCATAAATGTAATTATTTGGTCACAAAATATAATGGTTACAACTTATGATCTCTTAAACACAATAATGCGCATCCATCCCTTAATTCTCTACTCTGCATTTAAATAATAGACGATAATTTCCGACGTGGTTGATAATATTTATAAATGTAGATCTGAAAAAGTTCTGGAAAAGTTCAAAATATTTCACTTTTGATGTCCCAACCGCATGTCTTGAACATGTGTTATATCCGAAGAGGCTGAAGGATATATGTCCCAAGAATTATATATAATATTTTTATATACGTTTATTCTACGCCGTTGATTTTTAAAGAAGAGAATCTTTTGTAGCCAAATAGTTGGCACTTGAGGGCTTGATGATGATGAACTTTATGTGATTTCTTTTTAAATTAAACTCAGGAAATATTCACAAGTGTCATCAATTGGAAAGGGTTCGATTTTTTTCCGAAATCAGAAATAGCTTACAAAAACCTGGCATGGCTTTGATATTCAGATGATGACTTATAAAGATAATTTGAGTATTAAACTCGGATGTAGTAGGGACAACAAGCAAATATTTGGATCTGATCATATCATCATAAACGAGTTAGGGTGGACTCACATTTGGTTTGAAACTCTGAAAATATTAATCATGAATGAACAGATATGCTAAGAATAGAAAGGGAACGCTGGGTGAAATATTTAATTTAGAAAAACCTCAATTTTTCAGGACAAACTTAAAGTTTGAAAATCACCATATTGTCCAAATCACATCAATGTATTTAGCAGAAGTTTATGTTATTAGCAGAAATTTATGTTTCATTATTAAAAATAATATTTAAATTATTTACAAAACTAAAATGTTTTTGAATAACCACTACTAACTGAAATTTTACATATATTGGACTTTAGTGTTGGGGGATTGAGGCCTGATTTTCATAGCCCAATACTTTTTCTCTTCTTCATTTGACTCTTGACACCAAATTATCACCAGTCTCCACCGCGGTTCGGTGGTCTCAGTAATGCATGGGTATATTGAGATCTACGTGCATGAATGTATATTCAGATGCACGTACGTTTAGATAATTATTTTTATTCTTTTATCTTCTTTCACTTTTAAATAATTAATTATGCTAGACCATTTATTTTTAGAAAATAAATCATGTGAAGGGGAAGACTACAAACCCTAAATTAAGGATCACCGCATGACCTTTTCTCCTAACTCCATATTTAAACATTCCTCAAACAAAAATACCAAAGCTCTCTCTCTCTCGTGCTCTATCTTTTAACTCTCTTTATTTGTCTTCCTGTTACCTTCTTCTCATTCTTTTGACAGAAAGAAAAAAACAAGAACCATTTAATTAAACTCTCTTTATTCTTTCTTTTGAGGGGAAGTCTAACTGATATCTCCTCATCTCCAGGAAATCATATTGAATCAAATCCAATAGTGGGAATTTTATAGGAACCAACAAAAATCAGAACAATATATATATATATATATATATCAAGAAAACAAATGGAGGAGGAGAGAAAAGCTGAAGGAACTTCAGAAGATCCAAAGGGACAAGGGGTGTTAAGCAGAAAGAACAGCCACAGCTCTATGTGTCCGACAGATGATGACGATGAAGAGGAAGACAAGAAGCTTCAACTTGGTCCTATGATCGCTCTCAAAGAACAGCTCGAGAAAGACAAGGTTTTGATCTCTCATGTCCTGTTTGCTTAAATTATAATAACACCTAGCATTTTGGGTATGCTGCTATGTTAGTCCGAAAATGTTACATATTTGTTTTTTTATTATTTTAATGTTCTTTATCTGGAATCTGACCTATATAATAATAGGTGAATTTCGTTTTCAAAACCTAGACGACAGTCTAATCATTTTTGGTACCATTGAAAAAAATTGTTTAGGATGATGAAAGCTTGAGGAAATGGAAAGAACAACTTCTAGGCAGTGTGGATATGGAGGAGGTTGGAGGTAAACCAAATTCTAGTACCCAATTTAGCTCTATCGTTGAATCACAAATAAATCCGGTAACAAGATAATTCCTTTTTTTTTGTCAAGAATTTGAATTCATTTCTAAAGAAATGGCAAATAGATTTAAAGAGAATTCCAATTGATTACATTACTAGTTTTTTGTGTGTCCAAATATCATTTATATTTGTAATTTGATAGAATAACAAAATATATATACAGAGACTCCGGATCCGGTGGTAAAGATACTATACTTAACAATTAGGTCACCGGATAGAGACGACATGGTATTGACTGTCCCTGAAGACGGAAAACCGACATCGAAAGGGGCATGGTTTACTCTCAAAGAAGGCTCTAAGTACACTCTTGTATTTACTTTCCGTGTAACCAACAACATTGTGTCTGGCCTCCGTTACAGCAATACGGTTTGGAAGACCGGACTCAAGGGTAAATTTCTTTTCAAGCACTCGTATACCACGGTACAATAAATTTTGAAGCTCTTTCGCTAATTTTATCTCTTTCCTTGAGAACAGTGTATAGTAGAAAGGAGATGTTAGGAACGTTTAGTCCACAGGCGGAACCTTATACCCATGTCATGTTTGAAGAATCGACACCGTCTGGTATGCTTGTTAGAGGCTCTTATTCCGTTAAATCTAAGGTACCAAAAATCAAATACTAGTTAACTTTTCTATCATGCATACATAATCTATTGAAACGACGTTTAAATATGAAGAAAAATATACACGAGATTGTTATGAAATTAAGAAAAATTTATCATCTTCAGTTTGCCAATAATTGTGCCTTATTCCTGTCTTTCAGTTCGTAGACGACGACAATAAGTGCCACTTGGAGAACAATTACACCTTCGACATTCGCAAGGATTGGCTGTGATCCTTCACATAAGATACTGGAAGAAGAAAAACATATTATAAATTAGTATAAACTATTGTTTCAGCGCATCAACAAACCCCATTTTTTATTTGTGGTAAAGTAACTTATCTACTTCATCTCGGCTAAATATGATAGTCTTTTTTTTTTCACTTTCTATTTGAGTTTAAACGAAAAAGACAAATGAAAACCTGGTAGGCGCTTTTCAAGAAGAACGAGTGTTGTACGAAACATTATAATGATATCCTTAAAAAGACCCTTCTATAAAGTTTTAAGTATTAGCAGAACTAAATTCAGTTTGCCATACAGATATTTGGTACAAGTTTTTTTTTTATTTTTTTTTTTTTATTTTTTTATTTTTTTTATTTGTTTGGTACAAGTTTACCAAAACATTTTGTAATCTGCGAAATATTGTTCTACTATTTGCCTATGTTACTGGAAAAGGCTAATAGTATATGTTTTTGTCACCAAAAAAGTTCGTTCACCAAAAAAATCATACTGGAAGAGAGCATTTAAGGAAATTGCACACTTCAAGAACAATGAATGCTTTACATAAATGAAATTTGGAGCACTGCACTATCGACCTCATTTAACTTCTGTGGACATCACTACATAGTAGATACTATAACCTAATCAACAGAACTATATTACTATAAATAAAGTCAATAACATTCTCCAAGATACAAATTTCAACTCTCTCACAAACCAAAACTACCTTTCAAGATGAAGACCACCTACAAGTTTCAAAGCCTCTTCTCTTCTCTCATCTTCCTCCTATTCCTCTTCACACTCTTACAAATTTCGAGAACCGAGGCAGTCAGCTCCGGTGGTGGCTGCCGATATCCGCCGTCGCAAAACAGCTGCAAGACATGCATGGCGGAGCAGATGAAATACAACTGCCCTAAGTGTGTGCCGGTGCTCCGATGCATGGCTCGTTGCCTTTGGGGAGGTGTGTCTCAGAGGACATGCACCACCACATGCGGATGCGACACCTTAGCCAAACCCTCGCTTCTGGAGTGCAAACGCTGTGTTTCTAGGTGTAAGTGTAGCTGCGCAAATTAGGAACTTAGCTTAAGTTTCTCGTTTTGATGTTGAATAATGTGTTGAATGTTGGATCTTTGTCGTTTACATAATGTTGAATGCTTACCTTATAGACTATATTTCATATATTAATCACAAACGATATCTTATAGTAAAGAGACATGAGACATCCCTACGGCTTATCCTAAGATAAACCGCTCATACTTCTCTTTTGATGAGGTTAATTCAACTAAAATTTGAAAATTAAAGGATTTTTTGAAAGGTTTGAATATCTATTGTTATTATTTATTTATACGACATTGTAATAACGAGAAATACATTATAAGATGGTAACAGACATACAAAAAACTATGTACTGTACTCCATGATGTGTTAGGGGAAAAGAACAAAATATCCACAAAGAAGAAAATCATGGAAAAATAACAACTTGAGTATCAACCATACACACAAACTAAACTCTCGCAGCCAAAAGAATGTATCTGTGAGTAGTCGTTAATCATAATGCAATGCATTTTTTTCTCTATCAATGGTTTGAAACTAGTAGTAAGGAGGTGGAGAGGAAGCATACGAGTCACTTGGCATCGGTGGAAGAGACGTGTCAGGGTAGGAAGGAGGAGGTGGTACTGTGTAAGAATATTCAGGAGCTGGTTCGTAACTTGGTGATGCTGGTGGAGAATGACCGTCGTTACAACCCTTTTCTGGAGGCGGAGATTGACTTGGTGAATAGTAGTACTCAGTTGGTGGTGGAGGACTTGATGTTTCTGATGGATAGTATACAGGTGTTGGTGGTGGAGGAATTGGTGTTTCTGATGGATAGTAAACGGGTGTTGGTGGTGGAGGACTTGGTGTTTCTGATGGATAGTAAACCAGTGTTGGTGGTGGAGGACTTGGTGTTTCTGATGGATAGTAAACTGGTGACGGTGGTGGTGGTGAACTTTTTGTTTCCGGTGGATAGTATACCTGTGTTGGTGTTGGAGGACTTGGTGTTTCCCACGGATAGTAAACCGGTGACGGTGGTGGAGGACTTTGTGTTTCCGGTGGATAGTATACGGCTGGTGGTGGTGGACTTTGTGTTACAGGTGGATAGTATACTTGTGATGGCGGTGGAGGGCTTTGTGTTTTTGGTGCATAGTATACCGGTAATGGTGGTGGCGGGCTTTGTGTCACGGGTGCGTAGTATACAACAGGCGGTGGTGGACTTGGAGGTGGAGGAGATGAGTATACATAGGGCGGTGGAGGAGGCGAAGTGTAAACGTAAATTGGTGGAGGAAGCATCCGAACAGTGGGTGACATCTTAAACATCGGTGGTGGTGGAGAGAAGATGTTAAAACATCCAAACTTACTGCAATCAACAGAACGAGCTAACATAGATAAACACTCTTCAACCGATCTTTGACTAGCCATACCATCAATACAGTTCATGGAGCCGTTCACCATTGCCTCGGCTAAAGATAGAGCTGCACATATAGGAGCACGACCGGTGAAGAAGTTGGAAGCGTAAGTGAAGTTCTCAAGGTTAGGAAGCTGGCAGATACTTGGAGGAATAAGTCCCGAGAAGCCATTATTAGCCACGTGAAGCTCTTCTAAGCTCTTCATGTTGCCAATACTAGAAGGTAACACACCACGTAAAGTGTTTGAGCTGATGTCAAAAACCGTCACGTTCTCGAGGTTTCCTATCTGAGGAGGTAAACAACCGGTTAAGTTATTGTTTGAGAGGATAAGCTCGTTGAGTGTTTTCCCCATTTGACCGATACTTCCCGGTATGCATCCTCCAAGATCGTTGTCTGCAAGAACCAGAGCTGAGACGGGAGAGTTCCCCATGTTGTCGGGAATCCCAAACCGAAACCTGTTATGGTTTAAAAATATAGCGTCAAGCTCTCTGTCGAATAGCTCTGAAGGGATCATGCCTTCAAAGTCGTTAAAGCGGAGATCCAAGAACTTGAGGGAAGGTAAAGAGAGGACAACGTTAGGGAACTTCCCAACGAATCTGTTGTTGCTAAGATCAAGCTCGTGGAGAAGCTTCATGCGGTTGAACGTGAGAGGAACTTCACCGCAGAAACGGTTTGAGTTGAGGTGGAAGAGAGCGAGATCACAGAGGAGACCAAGCTCGGCAGGCAAGTAACCAGCCATGTCTGCGTGGTTGAGGTCAATGCCTGCAACGACTCTGGTTTCAGGGTTGGAACCGGGAGAAGGAGCACAGTAGATTCCATTGTAGGAGCAAACATCTGAGCCGTTCCAGTTGGCTGTGAAGTTGAAAGGATCAGAGAAGATTGTTTGTTTCCATGATTGGAGAGCAATGTAGGCTTCGATTAGCTTAGGATTCTCGAACTTGAGTTTCGGGTCTACTTTGATATGATCTCCCAAGCTGCTTTCGTTTCGCTCATCAGCTTTGATCTGTAATAAACAAACGGAGGAGATCAAGAGGAAGAAGACAAGACAAAGAGGAGGGATTAGCATTTCTTAAGGGTCAAGAAACCCACTTTTTACTTATGATAACGTCTATTATCTCTATGTGCTCTTCATCTTTATAAAACAGTTTTGCAACTCCAAAGTAGTATCTCTTTCCATCTCTCTTTTTTTTTTTATTTACTGAATTTGTCAATTAGTGACATGTTTACATGTAGAGGAGACACGAAGAGCTGACCTTAGCGAAGAGGTGAAACCATCGTCATTGATTTTTTTCTAACTTGGATGCATGTTCCTAATCAGCCTGTCAACCTTTAATCATATAAAATACAGTTAAATATGTTTTTAACTGAAATGACATGACTGCACGATCTATGGAGAAGCGGTCAAAGAAAGACAAACCTGTACGCACGACCAAATGGGAACATAACAAGGACGCGTGTCTGTCATGGGAACGTGTATATTCTTTTAACGAACACACCAAAGTTTATCCCTATGCCTCCAAATGTAAGCAATAAGCATACACTCAAAAACGACATCTTCTTTCGGTTTGTAGTATAATACGAATAGCGTGATCCCAACCTCTATGTTTCCATTATTTATAGTGTTTTGAAAGTGAATCCCTGGTACAGGATTCTGGTATGAACTCAGCTAGCTGACACAACATCAAACAATGAATATAAAATCATAGAATAATAAGTGCATTCGTCTGATCAACAAAGTCTAAAGAAATTTTAAAAAAAATATATGTATCGTCTACATAAAATGAGGTGCCATGTTAAGGTTAGAACTTCCATGGCTAGATACCTCACTTTCAAGGGACGTGTCCAGGCCTCCAGGGTAGTTAAATAGCACATGTTTAAAGTATTTAGCCTGCTATTGACATTGCTCCAAGGTGATGGATAGTCCCTAAAAACAGAGCAAACAATAACCAATAAAGCATGTGGAATTGAAAAAGTATCTCAGATATTCTCGGGAAAATCATTTGAAGGCTAAAACAACAAAGCAAAATATAATATTTTTTCAGAATGTCTTATTATACATGAACTCCAAACTCAACAAACCTTGAAAGCTTGATCAAGGTAAAGCAGAGAAAATGATGATATAGAGAGCAACCACGGAACCATTATTCCAGTACAAGATTAACATGATTAATTTTCAAATTGTCCTCAATCAAAGATTAAAAGCTATATTAAAAGACCAGAGACAGTCTCTCAAAATTCAAAGCTTATATTAACAGCCTATCTTATCATCACGTTTAAAATACAATCAAATGGATTAATGTAGTTATAACTCAAAAATTTACATAAAATTCAGTCATTTTCAACAAAGCAACGTAGGTTGTAGAGTTCTTCTACGTAAAAATAGTTGATTTGTATTCAGAACTAATCACCAATTGAATATACTAACTATTGATCACAGTGTCCTTACACTGATACTACTAAGGACGAAGAATGTAACGCCCCGACCGTCCACAGCTAATAGGCCACCCACGTCCGCTCTCTCAGCCCGTGGGCCCCATCCCGTTCCAACGGTCGGTTCGTTAATTTTCCAAGTCTCTAGAGTCATGTTTACTGACCCTGCAATCACCACCCGACCTTTCCCCGTGCTTTGGCCTCACTTACACGGTATCGCAAACCACTTCCCGATAGGTCACCCATCCTTTGACTACTCCAGCTCAAGCACGCTTAACTCTGGAGTTCTCTCTGGATGTGCTCCCGAAAAGGTAAGTGCACTTTGGTGACATAGGTAGCCAAATCAATTCTCTTAAGTTTTTTCCATATACCACAAACCGGGATGTTACAATTCACCCCCTCTCAAAGAACGCAACGTCCCTGTTGCGCCCCCCGACAGGTCTCAAGACGCCTCTCAGGTCAGAACTGAGATGGCTAACCTGCTCTGATACCACTTGTAACGCCCCGACCGTCCACAGCTAATGGGCCACCCACGTCCGCTCTCTCAGCCCGTGGGCCCCATCCCGTTCTAACGGTCGGTTCGTTAATTTTCCAAGTCTCTAGAGTCATGTTTACTGACCCTGCAATCACCACCCGACCTTTCCCCATGCTTTGGCCTCACTTACACGGTATCGCAAACCACTTTCCGATAGGTCAACCATCCTTTGACTACTCCAGCTCAAGCACGCTTAACTCTGGAGTTCTCTCTGGATGTTCTCCCGAAAAGGTAAGTGCACTTTGGTGACATAGGTAGCCAAATCAATTCTCTTAAGCATTTTCCATATACCACAAACCGGGATGTTACAAAGAAGCTAGCATTAGCATCACTGTAAATCTATAAGCACGAAACCTACTCTATATTCGCTTTAGACGTCTAAATCAAAAGGTAAAGTTCCCAGACCTGACGGAAGCCACATTGGTAGTTAAAGAAACGGAGGGTCCCAGGGAATCGCCGATAATAACATGTACGGAGGTTTAAAGTGGATTCAGCGGCGAAGAAGACGAAACTGTACTTCTCCGTGCTTTCGGGTTAGTTTGGGCTTCTAAAAGAGGCCTATGAAAAGTTGTTGATGGGCTTTTTTCTCTAGTAGCGCTATGTAGTGGTGGCTTGCTGGGGTCTATATTGAATTTTGATTAGTGTAATAATATTAGTTGGGCTTTTTTCAAATCAGCTTATTATACAACTCGTGGCTTAATGAAACTCAGTGTTTCACAGACCACTAAACCCAATGACTCAGTTAAAAATCTAGTTTGGGTTTTAAAAAATATTCACTAACTCAAACCAATAATAATTTTTTTTTAATTTTTTCTTAAGGTTTTAACTATTTTATTAATATTGTTTATATTTTAAAAATAAAAAATAGATTTTAATTTTAATTTTTAGCTTTTAATTTTTAATTTATCATGAAATTATCGTTTTTTTTGCTACCCAACTATATATCTCCTTTAACTTTTTTAAGACTTTTGATGATTTTTATTTTAGTGAATAACATTTTTAATTTTTTATGAATCACATGATTTTATCTTGTTTTCTTGATTTTACATATTTTTATATAAATATTTTTTTTGTGAATCAAATTCTTTGTATCTTATTCAATTTTGTAGAGTATATAGAAACTCTATACTCACGGGTTGCTTTAAAAGAGGACTACAACTTTCCGATTTTTCATTTTACTTTTTAACAAGACTACTCCGAAATGAAGTATACACATTAAACATTCTAATTAGACCATTCAATACTTTCCAACTAAGTGTGATTTGTATTAAAGCCTAGTACTAATCACAAAACAATAAAAAATGAAACAAACAAAAAACCTAATGAGCATTTCGGTATTTAAAGTCTCAAATAAACACCTTCATCAATAAAGTCTATCTCTCTCGCTCTCTCTCTCTCTCTCCCACACGACGCAATGAAGAAGCTCTACAAGAAAGGAACTGTACACCCCTCGCCGCAGACAAAATCCGATGACCAACTTCTTTCTCTCCTTCCCTTTGCCATCTTCTCCCTAGCGGCAGTGCTCTCACCTGATGACCGTGAAGTCTTGGCCTATCTCATATCAACAGCCTCTTACTCCAGCGACCGGGACTTCACCTCCCGTCTGAATAAGACCAATCCCCACAAAACTTCCCATTTAGACAACCACACGCCTCTCTTCCACTGCGACTGTTTCAGCTGCTACACGAGCTACTGGGTCAGATGGGACTTGTCACCTAGTCGCCAGCTGATTCATGAAATCATCGACGCATATGAAGACAGCTTGGAGAAGAAAAAGAAGCAAACGAAAAAGAAGAAGAACGTAACTGGGAAGAAAGACCGGAGAAAGCGTTCAGCGAAGTCTTCAGTTCTTGCTGGTTCTAGCTTTGGTCCGAACGATTCTGAGATTCCTAGACAACTCAATGAGTCCACTGCAAGTTCTAGCGAGTTGGTTGATGGTGCTGGTAGTTGCAACCGCGGTTTTGAATCTACGGACGAGTTCCATAAGGGTACTGAAGAGGCGGAGGAGGAGGAGAAGGGGCCCGTGAGGAGGTTTGTGAGTTTCATTGGTGAGAAAGTTTTTGGTGTTTGGGGATAAGAAAAGTTTACTGAAAGAATTACAAGAAATAAGAAGTATAAAAGTTTTTTTTTCATGTTTATTCAATTTGATCTTTCAAGGACAAACATGTTTTGATTACCTAAAGTTTTCATGTGTAAGCATTAACTGTAGAATAATGCGACAAAAATTATATGTATTATAACATCTTGATTACATCTAAAAGGTAATTAGTATAGTTGCACGTATTCAATACGTTTGTATGTATACTACTTACATATTGTGACCACAAATATAAACCGAAACTTCTTTAAATTATTATTTTCTTACCGCCAAAGGTTGAGTGATGGACTATATTAGTGAACAGAATACAAAGTGGAATTGATATTTCCTAGAACATATGTAATTGATTATCTATATATAGTGATAGTGGCTTTTACTAGAATATTGATCTATAAAAGTGTACTTGTCTAAAAATGCACAAATATATAAAATTTCTGGTCCAAACAATATCTTTTGTCCTGCCGACCACCACAGCCATTTTTATGCTTCCCATTAATTGTTTGTTCTCACATTTTTTGTCTGTACATGTTTGCCCTTTGCGGGTCACTCAATCTGGTCCCTTATATTCGTAAGCTGGTAAGGAAAGAATAGTCATTTCAGAACTCTTTCTAAACATGTCAACCGAGTTAGATTTCTCACTTCTCCGTTGCTAGCTTGTATACTTGTTTTAGTATGGTCCCAATATTCATTTGATTCAGACAGAGTATGAGGTAGTTTTACATGGTTTATCAGGTTCTTTTATTGGATATAAAAGGAATATACAGAAATAAATGTCTTAGAACTTTCAGTAGACGATTTTAATGAAAGTCAAATATGAACCCTACGACCATTTTCTTCAAAGTTCAAACGACGGCACTATATTCAAACCTAATGCTACTCTAGTTCCGGTCTGATATAAGACTTACTCAGCTTACTCCAACCGATACCACAATATTTGTTCAGTTGGTTGTATTATTATGTTACAGTTTTCATTCTAATTTTCAGTTAAACATCTATTTTACTAGCTTATCATGGCTCTCACTTGGTAATCCTTTATCAAGTATTTTTATTTTCTTTGGATTTCTTGCAACTTGGAGAATAAGACCAATTTCCCATTATACACAGTACAAATTTTGTTTTCCTTTGTTCGAATGCAGTTCAAATAACCATTCAAGACTTTAAAACGTGCAGTGAACATGTTTGTTGGATCGGTAAAATGTCTATAACCCGCAGCATTACAAGTAAATCATATGCAAAACAAAAAATCCAGTGTAAGCAAGAGTGATTTAATCGGTACTCTTTTCTCGTGCTCTGGTTATAACTTCGATAATTCAACTTTCTTTTTCAGACAAAACGAGGGAACTAAATCCTAAAAATGCGGATATGGTAGCATCGGTTTTCACGAATAAATAGCGAAAGTGGAGACATTCTTGTATCGGTGTAATGCTTTTCTCACACTTTTCCCCGCAAAGATGAAAGAAACAAGATTTTTTTTTGTTAAAACCAATTGATTATAGTATTTGTATTGCTAAATATTCAACTTGTTGTCTACTAGTTTGGTAGATTTGTATAAGAATCTAGTAATTTTAAAACGAACTACGTATATAGTAGAAAACTGGAGTATAAAATTGGAGTATAGACTATCGAAACTGTAGTGACTAACAGTGACACAACTATAGCTGTTGCAAATTCGTACTACAGTTGATTTTTCTTTCACCAGTCCCTGAAACATATGCTGTCAGATGAAATATGTCAAATAGTCATCTTGAAATGTGATTCTTTTGTACTTTTAATTTATTAGAATATGCCAGACGAAAAAGACGATATCAGTCATCACGACTGACTGAGAGGAGGCGTGTTTGAGAGTTTTTATACATAAAATATACTAATAGTTTGGACTAAAAAGTTAAACACAACGTCTTTGACTCGTTCTGTGTGTTAGTTTGATTTTTCTTTTGTCTAAACTTGTTTGATAGAAAGATTAACCTTAAAGCCACTATTATTGACGGTAAGATCATTACTATTTGTTTAGTAACTAGAAGCCAATTCTCTTTTACAACTAATCTTCGTTGCCTATTTAACCCAAAAACGATATCATAATTTTGGGAAAACAGGTATATGGGCCATTGTCAGTTTGTGAAAAGAATAAACTTGAGTGGGCTTTCATATTTTAACACACTCCCAAATTCAATTGATAAACACCGGAGGGCCCATAATAGATACTTGCATTGGACATGAACATATACTCCCAGTTTGTTATATCTTATAATTTTTTTCTTTCGTCACTGTTCTTATTATTGTTTTATTTTTGTGAACCTATTGCTAATTCAGTTATAGTTAGGCTGATTTGAGAATGGCTGATTAGGCTATTGAGTAAAGTGAATGCGTCAGTCATCAGAATAGTGTCCACAGGGATAATTGAATTACCCAGTCGGATCAAAGTGAAGAAATAATTAATTTGATACTCATCATTCGCATTTTTCAGTTCAAGAAAAAAATAATATCAAAACTTCATAAAAACAATTTTCGATATAAAAGATTTGATGTTGAATAATTATTTTTTTTCTAAAGAATGGATGTGGACGAGCAACAATCAGATCGTCAACCAATAAAAAGGACGACTGAAACGATATATCACGGCCAAATCTATTTCCCTCGCCAAGATTCATACAAGGACTCAGAGACACCGTACTCTCTCTTGCCCGATTTTAAGAACCACGAGGTTTATTTTTTCTTTTAAAAAGATAAAAAATAAAAATCAACCTCAATATAAGAAAACAACCGGACAGAACCAGAAGTGAAGAACGAAAAGACAATAGAAACTATAGAAACTAATGATTAATCGATGAAGCCGGTTCTGTCTTAGAAGTCTTAGCTCTAGAGGAGTATTTATAGTAAGATTACAAAGTGGTGCCCTAGAAAACCCAATAATACAATTTTTATCTCTTGGGCCTTTGGGTCGAATATATAACCCACACTTTTGTATACATTTGAGTCTTTATTCAGTATATTCATATATTACGAACATGTAGTATAATCTTTAAAATTATATTGAAGTTTGTAGTGTAGTACACACATAATTATTGCATAAACATTCCCACACTTAATCACACCAGTAGCATCAGTGATCACAACTTAGTTCTTGATTTTAATAACATTAACTTCAATACTTATTAATATTATTACCCAAGCACATATGAAACCCCATCTTCTCATCTTTCTTGCCTTCATAGAGAAACTCCCACATCCATTTAGAATGTCTCCACGGTGACCACCGGGTTCAAATCCTTTGTTGCTGCAACATTCTTTATCGCCTCAAAACGTGGCTCCTTTGGCTCAAACTTGACTCCAGCATAGAGCTTCATGTAGTCATCAAACACAAAACTCGGATAATCAGAGCCTTTCTCCACGAGAGATGGTGCAGGAGAGATCTTCGCATCACTTCCAGGGTTGTAGAATGACGCGATAGACATCCTGTTTCCTTCTTTTTGCGTCATCACACGGTGCATTATGCTCTTGTACTTCCCGTTTGTTATCACCTTTTAGGCACGTTCAATAAAAAAAAAATAATATATCCGGTCAAATCTATACCAATTTGCTGATGAATATTGCTTTTCTCAGTATCATTAACCGGTACTAAACCAAAAAATATAACCGGGTTAAAATTGTACCTCAAGTTGGTCACCAAGATTGATGACAATAGAGTGCTTGAGAGGAGGGACATCAACCCAAACACCATCTTTGAGAAGCTGAAGACCACTGACCTTATCATCTTGAAATAGCAATATGAGGCCTCCAGCATCTGTGTGAGCCCTAAGACCTTTGATCATCTCCGGTTTAGGACATGGTGGATAGTTGCTAACTTTTGTCCCAAAAGTTGGACCATTTGTCCCATGAAACACCTTCTTCAAGTACCCTTTCTCCAACCCTAGATTCTCACACAACAAATCCAAGAGTTCGTCCGCTAAGTTCTCTAGCCTCTTCCCAAAGTCCTTCATGGCCGCTCTGTTTTCAAGAAACAAAAAGAAAATCAATGGTTTCTTTTAATAAGATTTGTGAGATGTAATTTAAGGTTGAAAGAATTTGTTGTGTGTGTACCGGTATTCGTCAGACATATCAGGGATGTTGTAGAGGTTAGTCTGAGGGAGATGGTGAAGGAAGAAAGTACTTTCCCAATCAACATTTTCAACTTCAGTCTCAAGGGTATCTAAACCTTTGGAACGAAGCATTTCTTTGAACTTTTGTTCCATAAATTTCTTGTAATGTTCTTTGGTCATCCTCTCAATGTTGTCCATGAGATCATATGGTATTCCATGGTTTAGCAGCTGAATTTACAATTTTTAAGAATTATAATAAGCCCTTTTAAAAATAAATGATAGGAAGTGATTTGAGTTTTCGAACCTAAGTATTTAATATTTCTTCTTTTCATTAAATAGAAACGAATAATTATAACTTTTAATCTTTTTTTTTTTTGAGAAAGGAAGTTGAAAGATTATCATATTTTCTTTGATTGAAAACAAACAAAAAGAAAAAGTAGAACAACATAAAGAGAATCAAGAACCTCGAAGAAGCCCCAGTTTTGACAAGCATCGTCGATCAAAGCCATGGTTTGGTCTCTCTCTTCACCATTTAGCTTAGACAAGTCTACAACAGGAAACTTAATGTTCTTCTCCATTACTCTAGACCCTCTCTCTATTTAAACTGGCAACTTAATGTTGTTGATGATGTTAGTTGTAAAATATGAGTTGAGGAAATGAGAGAGGGTCGCTATTTATAGGCGCAAATGGTGAATCAAATATCTTAAGAAAATATACTATACGTAAAACGATATATAAATATCATACGATTATATAATTATGTCATTTAGATAAAGGTAGTATAGGAATATTTCTCTTTTTTTTTTCTTACAAGAAAAGAAAAGGAGTCTGTGGAAGTTGTATACAAAGGTGTGTGTGTGTACCATAATTGGTGGGATAAACTTGATGTTTTCCATTTCGATCTCTATTTCCCTGCTGTAATATTGGCTATTTCTTTTTCTTTTTTTATATGAATAATTGTGTATGGGTTGTTACAAATCAGAGAAACACTCGAATACTTTTTATCTGGTGCTTTGTCCCTTGGGGGAGTCACTATATGCAAAAGTAGGGCTAGGAATGATGTGTAAACACACAATTTCGAAAATAACAATAACCTTCAACAAACAAACAAACAAACTATATATAGACATAACTTGAACTGATTATCTAATTACTGATGTATGTATTTACTTTCAATAATCGTGTTTCAAAAAACAAAAATTACTCAATAATCATTTTGTAAGGTTTTTGGTGTTTTTAATGGAATCATCATGGTTAGAGTCTTAGAGAACGCGTATGCTATCACAAAGTGATCTAATAAGCGTACTTCTTCAAATTTATTTGTTGTAACTTTAAATTATTACTCGACAATTGTTTTGCCTATTTTCAGAATATCAAGTCCAGGATAAGTGAGTGAGATTTTTTTTTAAAAAATTATATGGTAGATGTCAACTGATCAGAAAGGATCATATCGTATAACTAAAAGATACTAAGCTACTTTCGATGTTTTATTATAAGAAAAGATGAAAACCGTTATTTTAAATTAATTGCCGGCCTCATAAATCGACTGATCACTTTCTCGTTATGGATGTTAGTAAAGAGGTATATATCTAAACTATTAAGTAGATTACTTTAAGTTTGATGATTTTGGTCTTCTTGGATTACAGATAGACATGGTTAATTTTGGCAATAAAGTAGATAATCTTGGTAATACATTTCTTTTTTAAGCTTGATCATTTTTGAGGTTGTTTCTGCAATAATATCAGTTGCCATTCGCGACCAACTTACAATAAGTTATCTTTGGATTCCTCCATAATAGGGAAAAAGATTCCTCCATACTTTTAACAAATCGATAAAAATCTTTGATCAGATGTTTGGTAAGAAAAGCATACAAACTATTTATACATACATTCATATTAATCAAAGTTATAGAATATTCCCAAACTCACTAAGAATTAGAAAATTAAAAAGAAGTTTGAAGTGATAGTACTTTCTCTTTTGCTTTTCTAATGATGCCCCCAAAACTACATAACAATTCAGAAGTCGTCTTCAAAAAAAGAAGAAACTAACACAAAATGTTATTATTCAATTCCAAGTTTAATAGTTGAGTAGTTAATTTATACTAAAACTTATTCGTATTAAGTAACAAGATATTAATACTTATGACAAATTTGACAACACAAATTAAGATGAAAGACTTCGGTCGGTGGCTACTTTTCCTTTGGTGGTGAACTGACGATCTTAGCGAGGTTATTGATATACATACATGATGATGAAACGTGAAAAAACTAGTGACTCATATAGAATCCAAGCATATATCATGCTACTTTTTAAAAATTATAAATCGAGTTCAGTATCAACAAACACATGACAAAAATGATGAATATCTTCCTTCCAAGAAATTAACCAACAAATTTAAAAGGTGGTGATGTGAGATCAGCTAAATATTCATTTACATTTTAAATGGTTATTCTTTACATATTAACCTTTTACAGAAAGAAGAAGTTGCAGTACTCCATTTACAGCTAAAGGGAATATTTCTAAAAGTTTCTAAACAAATTTTCTAAAAATAAACCCATTAATTAAGGAGATTAACGTACGGTTGAGACTCATTAGTTCAAGACGTGTTCTTGTTGTTGCATGTCTTAATTGATTGTTTGGTACAACTAAATAACTTATGGGCTTAACTTTCATATTTCTTTCTGTTTTTTTTTTGTTTTAAATGCGCTAATGCTTTTGTAATTAGATATCGCAATATTTTGTTTTGTTAGAGTATATACACTATTTCATCATAATTAAATTCATTGTACGTGATTCTTTTCTTCCTATTATGTTAATGTGTGTCTACGCATGTGTGCTGTGTGGTATAAACGGTGATGCGTGAATCCGTGTTATTTTATCAGTCGTATTACTAATTGTGGATTCATAAAGTGGATATTTCCGTTACACATTAGTTTTTTTTTACTATGGAAATAGGAAGTAGATGTCGCTATATTGCTAATTAGCGACACATCTGCTAAAAACTATAACTCAATTCTAATCCTGGTATGCTACGATATTGTGTTCACATTTTCGTAAAAAGCAAGAGTAAAAGCTGTAATATACACGTACATCAGACATCAGTACATGTGCATGTAATAATTGCAAGTAATAAAAGTACCATTACAGAACGTAGTGCTATCTATAATTGTAACCTATATAGTCCTTGTGTTACAAAAAAAAAAAAAAACCTATATAGTCCTTGTATTAGTTTTGTCTACATGCATCATTCGTTTACGTGTTATTGCTATCCAGTGAACAAAAAACTATCCCTTGCGCATAATTAAATAGTTGTATTTTTTTTTAAATAGTTGTATTGTTTTTTCTTTTTTTTTAAATAGTTGTTTTGTCGTAAGTTTAATACTCTTTTTCTTCTCTAAATCGCAACATTAATATTCATTTTTTCTCTAAATCGTAACATTAACTCTAAAAACAATTACTCTTCTCATCCCACTTTATTTCACGTAAGATATAAATCCTTTGTTTACATTTATTTTGGTTTTATATATATACTAAAACCAAATCCATACATTTGCACGGATATATAAATACTTTTACTAAAATTTAAATTACTTTAACAATATTACCTAATTTTTATATTTTTTTACTTATACAATTTATTATTTTTCATTTATCTCACATATCTTTTTCATCATACACAAAATTTGCGAGATATACTATATATACACATTTTATGCGATAAAAATAGAATGCATAATAATATAAAATTATAATATAATTTTAAAATAAAAAAAAAGAGGAAATTTGATCTAACACAAGGGGTGCTCTCGCTGTTCCTGGTTTAGTATGATTTTACATTTCTCGATATAAACTCAGACTTGATTTTGGTTTAGATAATGGTTCAGGTATTTGGATTATGGTCCATCAACCTATATTTTTATATCAAAGTTTTATATTCTTTGCAAGAAAATTCACCAAAGATGCAGTTTGCAAGAAAATCCACCAAAGATGCAGCTATGCGCCTTGTGAGTGAAGGACTAATAAGATCATCAAGAAACATAACCTTATAGGTTATAACTCTACAACAGTGTCAGTAAGTTTTTAGGTTACAAACTGAAGAAGAAGGCAACGTATCTCTTAGGTCAAGCAACGAAGAATATACATAGAGTAGGGAATACCAATTGATACATCAGAGTATCAAACATCACTAACTAATGAAGTGAAATTTTGTTTGAATTAAAGATTTATGTTAGAACATTTTTATACCAGCAATCCATTAAAAAGTGCTTATTGTTTATTTTTATCTAATTCCAAAAATAATACTAAAGAACTAATCGCAAACCACCACATATTGGTGGAATCCACAAATAGTAAAAGCAATAAATAAAATGGTACGTTTATTTTGTTGTTGAAAACATTGTTGCTTGCCATTTTTGTGGGGTCCATAAGGCTAATCATCTCATTTTTGTGTGATAATGATGCTCTTAATAGGCCAGAAGAAACTCCTTTTGATTAATACAACATTATTCTATAATTTGTTCAAATAAATAATCGATAAACATACTCAAAAATTAATGTATGCCTTAATTAAGTTTTGCTCGCTAGTTTGTCTTTGTTTTCCTCGAGTTTAGTTTTGGGGATTTTTGCAACGGAAATTTAAACTTTACGCTATAACGCAGACTTTTTTCTCTTTATGATAGCTGGGAAGATCTTTCGTTTGTAATTTTAGCGGGAAGATATTTGTCACTGAAAGAGTCTATATCTATCCAAACTATCCAAAACAGTCAAACCTACTGACCGAGTGCTCTTACAACGGATTTAAGTTAAGTTCTGTCAACTTTGAACAGCGATTCATGATCCATGTGTTACAGCTGTGTTGATAAATAATATGAAATCGATTTTGCAATGATACACCGAAAAATAAATACAGCAAATAGCAATGATACAATTGTAATACCGTATTTACATTTTTTTTTGGTCAAATACTTTTATAAATAACTTACTCCACAAAGGGAGAAATTGTTCACATCAAGGGAGAAACGAACGAAAATTACTTCTCAACAAACAAAAAATTCTCAAAAAACGTAAGAAAATTATAAGTGTGAATTCCGTTATATTAAAACACTCGTGACGCCAAGAAGAAGGAAACTGTATATACTATTTGTAGTAGTAATATGTGAGCTATTTCTTCTAATTTTAAACCAAAGTATAAACTAAAAACAAAATCAAGACCTCAACCCCAAATTTCAACAAGAGTGGTACAGTGTAATTTTTGACATGATGCGTATTTAGAATTACTTTTACCTGTTTAGGTACGCAAGGATACTATTCACCAACTTATTCCACAAAGTCAACATCTAATCGAGTGCTCTTATAACGGAATTTAGTCAAGTTCGGAGAAAGATTCAATTCCGTGTACTTGGGGAATTTTGTATTGTATATATGATCTTTTACTATTTGCTTCATAGATATGAAAACTAGTTACAGAAAAGATATGAAAACGAGTTGATATATAATAAATATGAATACTTCGTAAAATCTTAAAGATACTTTCTTACGTCAAAATGGCATGGTAAGTGTGTAAAAGCATGAACATCAAAAACTCACGACACACGTTCACACGCATCTCAAAAAAAAGAAATATCATAATAATCAATAGTAATGAACTCGTCTCGCCCGTCCCGTCCGGATGATCCCGTTTCCTAATTGTTTTACGGGTTCCACGTCACGTGGCGACCCGCTACTGATCCACTTTATTTTTTTTAAATCAGAAGAAAAAAATAAAATAAAAAACTAATAATAAAAAAAAATTCTGATGAACCCAACGCGGATTCATTGATATTCATGCTCTAAGTGTGTACACACACAACAAATACACTAGGTATTATTGAAAATATAATAACCAATGGTAATACCGTAATAGTAAAATATTTTCTGCGAAAATGAACAAAGATCTTGATCAATAATATATAACTGATATAATGTATTCATAATTGGAGGCTAATCGATACCTAAATATATTGAAACACATTGAGGAAAAAGCATTTTGTCGAATAAAAGATTTTTAAAACCTTGTATACCATTTTTATTTTGAAGTTTGAGTTCAAATGTAAACTAACAGAATAAAAGAGCAAAGCAAGTACAAATAGATCAATATGGAGTGCCAAATCAATACGCAATTACGCAAACATAATATATCTATGACTCTAATTATGTAGGATAAAATTTACTAAAAGACGTGATCGAGACGTTTCAATGCTAGTTGCAAATTCTCTGTATAGATTGCTGAGTAGAAACTAATGATCTGTTGACCAAAAAAAAAAAGAAACTAATGATCTAAATTTTATTGCATGAATTACTTCTGTATAATTTAACAAATAAATGTTATTACTTCCAATCTAGTAATCATGTATGACACTGATATTAACTCACGAAAGCAAACAATGGAGAGATTATAGTTTCAATTTCCCTAGTACAAAATTCAATTAGTTTAGCTAGGTGAGTGCGTCATGCATGATTTTTCCAGTTAACCCAAAGTAAAATTTTATTTCGCGAAACTATCTTCAAATGATCAAATGAGTTGCATGTGTTCCTCATATGTTCTGCCTAATTTAGATGTTAATTGTTTTCTTTTTCTACGCGAGCCTAACTCGTTTATTTCGTCTGAAATCGCAACCCTTAGAAATTGACCACTCCACTAAAAGAGTCTAGAAAAGTCAAATATTTTTCTTCATTAGAAACCTAATTTTCAAAAAACTTGTTCGTTGACCTTCGCACCATTCTCTGATAGTTTATAAATACCATTCACTTCATTCATTACTCTTCATCCAAATATATTCATACACATAGAAACACACGAAAGAAATATTCCGATACAAAAAAACTTTGTGTGCTTTTTTTTTTATCTCGTTTATTTATTGAAAGGCTACGACAAGACAAGAAGAATGAATACATTCAAGATATCATATTTCGTTGTGGTACTCATAATGGTCTTGGCCATTGCTATAACATTTAGCGAACCGCTAAGGGTTGAGGCGAGCCACCGAGACAAATATGGTCGGGTGATAGCCGCCACAAGAGGAAAAAAAGATGGGAACCGTACAAGTGCAATGACATGTGATAAAAGCCCCAAAGTATGTCGTCTCAAAGGCAGTTCAGGTCGTGATTGTTGTCGTAAGAGGTGTGTGGACTTGAGAACCAACAAATTGAACTGCGGAAGATGTGGGAAAAGCTGTCAATACTCGGAAGTTTGTTGCAACGGATACTGTGTGAACCCGATGTTTGATAAGAGACATTGTGGAGGTTGCTTTAAGAAGTGCAACAAAGGGAAAGAGAGATCGTGTGCATATGGGATGTGCAGTTATGCTTGAATGAACGACGGGGTATAAAGGTTATTGAGAAAGGGAAGTTTAATTTGTTGGTTTAAATTGGTTTACGTTCGTATTGCAATCTGAAATTAAAATATTATATAGCTAGTCTAAATGTGGGTGGTCAATCTGTTACTAAAATTAGAAAGGATCTTGAAAAAGTTAGTCGTCATATTTGTATTATTGTTTTAATTATATATCCATGTGTCATGCAATAAAGAAATGTATTATGTTTTATGGTTAAAATAAAAAGTTATTATGTTTTATACTTTTGTATGATGTAATGTAATTCTTCTTGATTTATTAAAATTTGTAAATTTACACCAAATATGTATAATTTTTGTTTTATAAATAAAACGGTTATTAATAAAAAATAAAAATAGATTTTAAATATTAAAAATAAAGTTAAAATACATTAAATTTTCGTCTCAAAAATTTTATATCTAGTTTGTTTAATTAGGTATAAACCTACCGTTAAGATCTTACTGTGGATCTTGAACACAACACTAAAGAAATAAATATTTCATCTCATGAATGTAAAAAAGTGATTACATATATGAGAATCACATTAATATGCTTATGTTGGGGCCGCAAGAAAGCAGTCACAGCTTGAAAGAGAACTATGGCAGTACTGTATTTCATTTCAAAATTCTTATATTTAACAATACACATGAAATTTGTGAATCTCATTCTTATTTGAATGTTAAATCTTTTTTTCCGAAATATATAGTTTTCATGTTACATATTCGAGTTATGAGACTATTGACTAAGGCCATCCCCATTAGGGGTTCATAGCTGGGATTCACCCCTTTCCCAATAAAAAAAAAAATATAATAATCTTAATCTTTTGAACCTGTGTCGTCGGAGGTCACTGGCAAGAGGCGGTTTATGCACTGTAGCGCGGGCCCCACGACACGTGGCGGCCCACCATTGGTTCAATTTTTAATTTTTTTTTTTTCGAAAAAGTAAACGAAAAAGTAAAAAAAAAAAAAAAATGTCATGTGGCGAATCTCATTAGAGGTTTACTAATGGAGTTGCCCTAACACTCCTGCAAGTGAAACTCAAAAAGAAAAGAAAAAATGGCAGGACATCAAATAGTAGGCCTAATAGACCTATACCAGGCCCAGGTCCATAGAAATTTATACCATATATTATTTTCCAAGAGGAAGCCTAAACAGTCTCAGTGGCGACTGATGAGCATCGAACAGCAAGAAGCTACCGATAACTTCAGTGGAGACGAAGCTCTGCGATTCCAAAATATCACTTCGTATACACCTTCTTCCTTACTATTTGTGAGTTTCTGATTATTTGCTAGAACCCTCCCATTACCTTAAGTTTTCTAGGTTTTTTTTTTTTTATCTCTTTTCCACTTTTATTTTCACCTTTTACTAATTTATTTTGTTGGAATCAGACAGATCTTTTCAATGTCGTAACAGTTTTTTTTTTTTTATGTAGAAAGACAATATGGACAGAATCAGTAGATTATCGGATGAATTGCTGGTTAAGATACTATCCTTTCTCCCGACAAAAGATGCTGTCTCAACCAGCGTTTTGTCGAAACAATGGGAGTTTCTTTGGATGTGGTCTCCAAAACTCGAGTACGATGAGTATTACCCCAACCCCCCTGACGCTTCCGCCTTCAGGTACCGAGACTTCATCGACAAGAACCTGCCGTTACATAGAGCTCCCGTCATAGAAACTCTGGTCTTAAAATCTAGGAACCCTGAGTTGTTTCAACCTGAAAACATCAAATCATGGGTTGGAATCGCCGTTTCTCGCTGCGTGCGTGAGCTAACTGTAAGCATCTGCTATAACTCCATCGATGACAAACCTTTTGTGCCGTTGCCGAGTAGTCTCTACACCTGCAACTCCCTCACGAGTTTGAAGCTTCAAGGAGAGTCTGTGTTTGTGGATGTACCTGAAACTGTTTGTCTACCTAACTTGAAGAAGTTGAAACTTCGAGACGTTACATACTTAAATGGTGACTCTCTTCGGCTGCTTCTGTCTAATTGCCCTGTTCTTGAAGATCTTTGTATTAACCGATATGGAGAGTCTGATGATAATGTGAGGACAGTAATTGTTAAGGTCTATACTCTGCAGCGTCTGACCTTGAAGATGTATAGTGAACATCGTGATGTGCACCATGTCATCGTTACTCCTTCTTTGAAGTATTTAAAACTCCATGACGAGGGACATGATTTATCTTATGTGATTGAGGATATGCCAAAGCTAGAAGAGGCGGATATTGATGTTTCATCTTCTCTCGACGAGCTTCTTGGATCAATGACATCCGTCAAACGCCTTTCATTACGTCAGTTTTTTTACCATGACGATGAGGTAACAAGTCTTCTATCAAATCATATATATAGTACTAATTAATTTTTCGTAATTATGTTTACTTGTCGTGTGTGTATGTTAGTCTGTGCTTACTGTTGGCGCCGTCTTCAACCAGCTTGAACATGTGAAGCTGTCTTTCTACGGCGACGATTGGTCCAAGTTACTCGTCTGGTTGCTTACAAATTCTCCTAAACTGCGAGACCTCAGTATTTACGTTGATGTAAGTCTTCTTATTTACATTTTTTGAAGCTAAAAGACTTTGGCGTACTCTTGAGTCATTATCTTTCTATATGTAGCAAAATGATTCACAGTTTCAGTACTATTTCCCGGTTGAGTGGAAGAATCGGAGCTCTGTTCCTGAGTGTTTGCAGAACACTCTTGAAACTTTCAAGTTTGAAGGGTTCATGGGATCACAAGAAGAAGGGGATTTCTTGAGTTTTTTCTTCAAAAATGCTTCTTGCTTGAAGTCTACATCAATCACTGATCGTGTTACACAAAGAGGTATTTGATTCAACAACAAATAAATATAGTCTTGTTGAAGAAGACAACCAACTCTGTTGTGGAACATACGTGACACTTTCTCCTACATTACAGGTAAACGATGGGGTTAATCACACAGAGCTCTGCAGTGGTAGCAGTGTGGCGACAAAAATCGCAGTGTCAATAAAAAATCAGAATGAACTTCTAAGTGGATGTTTGTCTTTTCAGTCAAATTTTAACATATGTTCTAGTTTATAATGTGGTAAATTTTACGGTCTTGTTGTATGTTGTATCAACCTTTAATCATTAAAATATGTAATTGTGTGCCTAATTTAAGAAGAAAGCCCACTATGTTGTGGAACATATGTCTCAACAAACTATAAGTTCTGAAGCTCGAAGGCCTAATCCTATCGGAATCACATAGATTTCTGAACGATGCAGTTCATAGACTTATTGGTCGTGATTTTGTTGCCTAAGGTGTTTAACAATTGTGTTGTCAGTCAAGTTTTGACCTGTGTTCATGTTTACAAACCCACACATTTATAGCTGGAGTGTTTATGTGTAGCTAGCTCAGATGTTTTATCACCACTTACAGAAGCTCTCACGATTATATATATATATATATATTTTGTAACAGTCGATTCCTTAATATTACAGAAGCTCTCAAGCACACATTTTGTTGCTTGCAACTACTTTAGAGAATCACTCAAACCAAAGATTTGTTCTTCTCTCTGATATTATATCCAAATAACCAATGCCTCTTTATTTTTGCATATGATTAATTGGCCGTAGCTGCTTAGACAATTACAGTTTCTCTTGATTTTATCTGTGAACTTGCTAACGCAGGAGTTCTACAGTTATTCCACAATATTTTGACATGATGCGTAGTTAAAATTACTTGTACCTGTTTGTTTTGGTACGCAAGTATACTATTCATCCATTAAGTCCACGAAGTCAACATCTAATCGAGTGCTCTTATAACGGATTTTAGTCAAGTTCGGAGAAAGATTATGTTCCGTGTACTAAGGGAATTTTGTATTGTATGTATGATCTTTTACTATTTGCTTTTTAGATATGAAAACGAGTTGATAATAAATATGAATGCTTCATAAAATCTTAAAGATACTTTCTTACGTCAAAATGGCATGGCAAGTGTGTAACTGTGTACACACACAACAAATACCCTTGGTATTGAAATAGTGAAAGATTTCTTATAGCGAAAATGAATAAAGATCTTGAACAATATATAAATGATATTAACTGATCATCCATAAATGGTAGGCTAATGGATACCTAAATATATTGAAATACGTTGAGGAAAAACATTTTGAGGAATAAAAGATTGTTAAAACACACTATACAATTTTTTTTTTGAAGTTTGAGTTCAAATGTAAACTAACAGAATAAAAGAGCAAAGAAAGTACAAAGAGATCAATATGGAGTGCCAAATAAATACGCACTTACGCAAACATGATATGATACCGCACGTAGTGGATGGAGATGAGTTTTTAGTATATCATCTAATATATCGATGACTCTGATTATGTAGGGTAAATTTACTAAAAGACGCGATCGAGACGTTACAATGTAAGTTGCAAATTCTTTGTATAGATTGCTGAGTAGAAACTAATGAAAAATAATATCTAACTTTTATTGCATGTATGACATTGATATCAACTCACGAAAGCAGACAATGTAGTTTGGAGAGATTATAGTTCCCATTTCCCTACTGCAAATTCAATTAGTTTACCTAGCGTGAGTGCTTCATGCATGATTTTTCCAGTAAACCAAAAGTAATTTGTATTTCGCGAAACTATCTTCAAATGATCAACTGAGATGCATGTGTTCCTCATTTGTTCTGCCTAATTTAGATATTAATTGTTTTTTTTTTCTACGCGAGCCTAACTCGTTTATTTCGTCTGAAATCGCAACACTTAAAAATTGACCACTCCACTAAAACAGTCTAGAAAAGTCAAATATTTTTCTTAGAAGACCTAATTTTTCACAACTTGTTCGTTGACCTTTGCACCATTCTCTCCTGTATAAATACCATTCACTTCATTCGTTACTCTTCATCCAAAAATATTCATACACAAACACGCGAAAAAAAAATTCCGACACAAAAAACTTTGTTTGCTTTTTTATCTCTCTTTTATTTCTTGAAAGGCTACGACAAAACAAGACGAATGAATACATTCAAGATATCATATTTCGTTGTGGTATTCATAATGGTGTTGGCCATTGCTATAACACTTAGCGAACCGTTAAGGGTTGAAGCGAGCCACCGAGACAAATATGGTCGGGTGATAGCCGCCACACGAGCAAAAAAAGGTGGGAACCGTACAAGTGCAATGACATGTGATAAGAGCCCCAAAGTATGTCGTCTCAAAGGCAGTTCAGGTCGTGATTGTTGTCGTAAGAGGTGTGTGGACTTGAGAACCAACAAATTGAACTGCGGAAGATGCGGGAAAAGCTGTCAATACTCGGAAGTTTGTTGCAACGGATACTGTGTGAACCCGATGTTTGATAAAAGACATTGTGGAGGTTGCTTTAAGAAGTGCAACAAAGGAAGATCGTGTGCATATGGGATGTGCAGCTATGCTTGAAGAAACAATGGGTTATAAAGGTTACTGCGAAACGGATGTTTAATTTGTTGGATTAAATTGGTATTACAATCTGAAATTAAAATTTTATATAGCTAGCTTAAATAAGGATGGTCATCTTGTTACAAAATTAGAAAGGGTCGTGTCAAAGTTTGCCATCATTACTGTGTATGTTTAACTTTTATGACTTGTCATGTAACAAACCAATGTATTATGCTATGTATTATGTTTTATGGATGATCTTAATTTATTATACTTTATACTTTTATATGATGTATTTTTTTTTTCGTCGAGCGGTCGGAATAATGGCTTTGTTTTCTTGTAATGAATGAAGGAGTTAAACTTTTAAGTTTTATAAGTAAAATAAGTTACCAATAAAATATATAAATAATATATATATTTAATAGATAAATACATTAAATTTTCATCTTAAAACTCTTATATTTTTAGAAATAGATATATAGTCGAACTAGGTAAACTTAACGTTAAGAGATTACCGTGGATCTTGAACACAACACTTAGAAACAATATAACATCTCATGAATGAATGAGAAAAATGAATACGTATAATTAATTATCACATTATTTTGACGATTAATTGATTATATATGTTGGCGGCTAGAATGCAGTCACAGCTTAAAAGAAAAGAACTATGCTAGTATGGAGTGAAACTACTACTGTGGATCTTGAACAGAAGACTAAAGACATAAATATAACATCTCATGGACAAAAAAAAACTGAATAAATATGAGAATCACATGTGTTACAAACAAAATATATGAGAATCACGTTAATCTGTATGATTCTGTTGGGCGGCTAGAGAACAGTCACAGCTTTAAAGAGAACTATACGTATGGCAGCTACTAAAACGGAATAAAAAGTCTGTCATGTGGCAATTAAACTATGCCCACTTGATGACATTTCGGGAAAACAAATTCTTGAAACATAGTACTCTGGATAGTATTTGAAACTTGAAAGTAATTGGAAATTAATTTCTTTTGTGTTATTCCTAACTCTTTCCATCTAATAAAACAATTACAAATGGGATGTTTACTATTCTTATAGCAACATAATTCAAAAATATTGGTAGTTTTGATTGCTAATATGATGTTATAATATTACTACATGCACGAGAGTCTTATTTTCAAGTTTTTCTTTAGTTTTCAGATTTTTTTTATATAGTAGCAATCAAATTATATCCAATCTAATGTCGTAAAAAACGAATCCAGATTCATTTAACAAATCTAATCTGGATAGGTAGGGTTTGGTTAGACATTGATTTCAGTTAATCGAATCACAAGGTACATGAGTGGAGATAAGTTAGCATAAGGTACATGTGATGGGTAGCATAAGGATCACATTTATTTATCAGTGTATATATGTGTTGGGCAGCAGAAAATAGTCCATCACATATAGCTAAAATATTTTGATCTATCAACTAAAATGAAATACATTAAACCGAGTTGGTAAATTTAGAAGAAAAAGTATTTCAAACATAGTACAATATTTGTAAATTAATTAAAGCATCACTTGATTACAATATTACTATATAGTAATAGTGGTGTATTTTGTTCGAATAAAAGAAACTGTGGAGAACATGGTACACATCTATTACTAAATTCTCAATAATCGACTCTTGCTTTTAATAATCATATATTTAACAAGCTTGTCATATAGTTCGAATGAAAACAACGTTGTACTGTATATCACTAGTCACTACGTATTATATATTGAAACCCTCACTTCTAACAAATCATCCATCATTTTCACTCTTAATTTTCAAACACCAAAAAAAAACACAATGCAGATCCAGAATCTCTGTCTTCTTGCTCTTTTCATAGCTATATTCACCTCTCACACCACATCCGCAGCTAGATTCAACTTTGAGCACTTTGATGGCTCGAATCTCGTCTTCCTAGGAGACGCAGAGCTCGGCTCCACTGCTGATGGCTCCAGCCTCTCCGGAGCTCTCTCAATGACACGTGACAGCCCCCCATTCTCTCACGGCCAAGGTTTATACACTGGTGAGATCCCTTTCAAGCTCTCGAACTCTTCTTCTACTACTTACTCTTTCAAAACCTCCTTCACTTTCTCTATTTCTCCTCGCCGGAAATCAAACCCTAGTCCCGGCCATGGCCTCGCCTTCATCGTGGTCCCTTCCATTGACAACGACGGTGCTGCCGGAAAAGGCTTCCTCGGTCTTTTAAACCGAACCAATAACGGAAACCCTAATAACCACGTTTTTGCTGTCGAGTTTGATGTTTTCCAAGACAAAGATCTTGGAGACATTAATGATAACCACGTCGGTATTGACATTAATTCAGTTAAGTCCACGGTTTCCGAGAAAGCCGGTTTTTGGGTCCAGACAAGAACCGGGGAAGGAAAGAAAGTGTGGGAGTTTAAAAAACTGAAACTGAGTAGTGGTGATAAATACAAATCTTGGGTTGAGTATGATAACGTCACTAAACTAGTCACAGTTACCATCGCGCCTGCGTATCTTAGTAAACCGAAGAAGCCGTTGATCGAAACTCAAATCGACCTCTCCAAGGTTTTCCTCGGTAATATGTTCACAGGTTTTGCCGGTTCAATGGGCCGTGAAGTCGAGCGTCACGATATATGGACATGGAGGTTCGAGAACAACGCCCCTAAAGAAACTAAACCGGTCCAGTCCGGTTAGGACGCGTTTATTGTCGTTTTAATTTCTGTTTCTTGTGTTTGTTCGTGTGTTTCTTGTGTTACCGCTTTTATCTTTGGAGTTGTAAGCTTTTAATCAAATTGAATAAAAACCAGTTGGTTTCGTTGTGACTATTGCCAGCTTCTTTGAGATATTACCATACAACAATGTTTCTTTTTTCTTTGAGAACAACAATGCTTTTTTTTTCTTGATCTTTTTATTAAGACTAATTAGTGAAACTTTTCAGTTTTATTACCACACAAGCGTGGTTGAGTGATAAGGCTGGCTTGCGTGTCGCTGTAAATTGGTATTTGGTTTCTGCGGATGTACGTGAAAATGTAGATTACTTTTAACATTTTTTAAGAAGGAAATCTGTGATGTTCCACAACAAATAACTAAAGTACTAAGTGAGCGGTACTTGTGCACGAGGGAAATTGGTCTAATCAGCGTCACAATAGGACCAATCACAATTGAAAGTTATCTTGTCCAGAAAGCCTTTGAGATAGAGAATAACATGCAGGGCAACATCCCAATAGCATTGGCAAAATTCATTCATTAATTAACTAAGCGAGAGCGTAGGCAATATTGCTGAGTTCGGACAAAAGTCTATACCAGCCAGCACATTGCTCGCTATCTTTGAAACTTATGTTTTGGTTCATTTATTTAATACGGTTTGATTAGTCCGAATTCCTTAACTTTCTTTTCGATGTCTAACTTTTTAACCTTTAAAGCAGATCACTTCCAGTCATCCGAATGGTACTCTCATCATAACCTAATTTACTATCACATCCAATTTATACTAAACCAAGTTGAATATTTTCTTGTGAGTTTTTGACGATAGTACCCGGTCCCTTATTAATAATTAGGTTCTGCGGTTAAAAATAACAAGCTTTTTATATAGTAAGAACGATTTTCTTATTGTGAGTTTTGATATGTCATTTGAATACAGTAAACCTTCGATCTCATTCCGCTTGCACCACATGGTTTGCTTGTCCTGTACATGAACCACATTTACATTTTACTTCGCCTGCTTGTCCCGATATGCACGATCTTATCAATGTCACCATTTGAAATCATAGTACAGCACTAAAGATATTTCTACACTAATATAATATGTATCCGCCTATAACGATTTCTTTTCTAATATAAAGTTTCGATCAAGTTGGCACATGAACTCATAAAAAGTTGCACTAAAACTTGAGATGTACAAGCCGCCGGGTATTGGGAGTTGGGACACACATGAACACCAGAGAGCCGAACAAGACCATATCATAGAAAAGTATTTCTCCTTTGTCTTTAATATTTGTAAAAGACCTTTACATTTATTTTTATTCTTTTATTAACAACCTTTCAAAATAGTTGCAGATTATTTTCACAGAGGATAGTTATCTCAAAACACATGTGTTCGAATCATTTCGAATTCTATATGTGCAACAGGTCAGTATACAAATTAAAAAGAAAAAGATCCAGCGGGACGAGGAACCGACCAACAGCATGTTCCCGGTGGCTCTTAATTAAAATAATGGTTGTTTGGTCCTACCTTAAATGCGCAGCCCACGTACACTTTCAAATAGTTCAACTAATGTCTCGTAGTCTTATACTATAACTAAACCAACAAAAAAGTAATAATTAATAAATCAATATTAATTCGCTAAGAAAAAGAATCATGTTATATTTTTGTTAAACACTCCATATTAATATTCACTTTACACCGAAGAAAAGTAATAAAAGAAAGACCATCATCCTTTCAGGTCATTGAGGAGTCAAAACACTCCTAGAAACAATTCCTTGGCGTCCTATAAATAGAAGCTCACTAAGTATACTCAAACACACCAATCCATATCAAACACATAACAAAAAAAAAAAATGAAAACCTCAATCACATTAGCCTTCTGTCTCACTCTCTCCTTAATCGGAGCGCAAGCCAAAGTTCCCGTTGACAAGCAATTCCGAGTGGTCAATGAAGGAGACTACACCGACTATAATCCTATGGAATACAGTGCAGACGTACGTGGCTTCCAACCCTTCAACGAAAACTTCCGTCTCTGCTTCTACAACACAACTCCAAACGCATACACTCTCGCTCTAAGACTCGGAAACAGAGCCCAAGAATCAACTCTCCGATGGGTCTGGGAAGCAAACAGAGGCTCTCCGGTCAAAGAAAACGCGACGTTGACTTTCGGTGAAGATGGGAACCTAGTACTCGCTGAAACCGATGGTCGTGTGGTGTGGCAAACGAACACAGCTAACAAAAACGCAGTTGGTATCAAAATCTTGGAGAATGGCAATATGGTAATATACGACTCCAACGGGAAGTTCGTATGGCAAAGCTTTGATTCACCCACCGATACTCTTCTTGTGGGACAGTCTTTGAAAGCCAACGGTCAGAACAAGCTCGTGAGCCGAAAGTCTCCATCGGTCAACACAAACGGACCTTACAGTCTCGTGATGGAAGCCAAGAAGCTAGTTTTGTACTACACGACAAACAAAACGCCAAAACCAATCGCTTATTACGAATATGAGTTCTTTACGAAGATAACTCAGTTCCAGTCAATGACATTCCAAGCTGTGGAGGATTCGGACACCACGTGGGGTCTACACATGGAAGGTGTGGACTCTGGTTCTGAGTTCAACGTCTCTACTTTCCTCTCGCGGCCTAAACACAACGCTACGTTGAGTTTTCTACGGTTAGAATCAGACGGAAACGTTAGAGTTTGGAGTTATAGTACGTTAGCGAGTTCCACCGCTTGGGACGTTACATACACGGCGTTTACAAACGCTGATACTGACGGTAACGATGAGTGTAGAATCGCTGAGCATTGTGGTGAGTTTGGTTTGTGTAAGAAAGGACAGTGTAACGCTTGTCCTAGCGACAAAGGTCTTCTTGGTTGGGACGAGGCCACTTGTAAGACTCCGAGTCTGACTAGTTGCGATCCCAAGACGTTTCATTATTTCAAGATCGAAGGAGCTGATAGTTTTATGACTAAGTATAACGGAGGCTCGTCGACGACGGAGAAAGCTTGTGGGGACAAGTGTACGAGAGATTGCAAGTGTTTAGGGTTTTTCTACAATAGGAAGAGTTCGAAGTGTTGGTTGGGTTATGAGCTCAAGACATTGACTAGAACCGGAGATGCTTCCCTCGTTGCTTATGTCAAGGCTCCAAATGCTAACAAGAACTCAGCTCTTGCCCTTTGAATGAAGTGTCATCATCTACTTGGTTTGTTTGTGTTGTCGATTTGACGAAAAATAAGTGCTACATTGTCATTTGTTTTACCTTCTTAAAAGTTGTTGCTATTATTTTTATCTTATTTTAAAACTACAAGCTGGTTATCAAGCTATCTCTTAATAAAACGAAGTAAAGTTCATCAACCATGGTCCATGTTCAAGTAATTATTATATATAATATGCCTAACCTCATATATTAAAGAATGAAAATATATTGTTTAATTAGACTTATCTTGTTTTCTTAAAATTTTGTTGAGAACATATACAGTATATCACCAAATATTTTGGAAGATTTTGTGTGTACGGTAATTAATGACGCACACAGTAGATTGATCGTTAGGTTAACTAATCTATCTGCATTATTAGTGTAGTTGGAAATTGTGGATTTAATTTTTTAGTTAATGAAATTACTAGCGGAGAATCAAAACCTAAGTGAGAAGTAATCGCACAGACGAAGAGGAACAATGCTTCACTTGAGATGCAATCCAGAACTTCTTTTTTTTGTAACACCAACTTTCAATTAACTTAAATCTTAACAGAGGTGCGTTTATCACAGAAGCTTCTGCAGACGGGCTTGTTTTGCCAAAAAATCAGCAATTTCATTTTTGACCTTAGGGATTTAAATAAGAGAGATCGAATCAAACTGAGAACCTAATGAGAGTGGAAGGCAATCCGAGATCTCAGGGAGTGGAAGGCTAAATGTAATGGTGAGTTGCAATGAGTGTGACTCACAAATTAGATCATCAAAACAGGATTAGCTAGGATACTAATGAACTATTGTATATATGTATCAGTATTATACTTGGACATCAAGAAATTAAATTATCATGATGTTTTATGCGGCAATGGAAGCCAAGAATTCTAAAGAGGCTATGATATACACAAGGATAATCGAAATCCCCTTGAAGAATCCAAAAAAGGTTTCAGAAATTGAAAGAGAAAGAACACCAATATTTGAGCATTGGAGAGACTAATGACTACATTATATGATAGAGGCACGTATGCGTGTTATTGTAAATGAGTGAAAATATTTGCAAAAGTGGAGGTTATATTTCAATATTTTGACTATGGGTTCATAATCTCCTTTCATCCCGGGACCTATCTGTATTAAACAAGATTCGAACTGAAGAACACAACACAACCTTCTTTTTGATACATAGATCTTGCGTTATGGGTGTGCTTAACTAAATGCCAGATATATGTTTTTGAGATCTTGTGAGTGTCAAAATATATATTCTCAAAAAGGTTTCACTGGAAATTAAATCAAATATTTTATATTCTAGTACATGCATCTACTTAATAAACTCTTGCAAGTGACAAGAAAATTTACAAATTATTTACTAATAACACATTTACCCATATGATATACATTTATATATCGTTAACAATCATTACGTATATGAAAAAAATAAATTAAATTACCATGTTTTAGAATAAGAACTGATTTTAAAAGAACCAAACATGGATAGTCTTAAGAAAGTAAGCCCTAATTGTTTTCTTCCAAACCGTCACAACAAAGTCTAGACTAAACCCTAGACCCTGAAAATTAAGCCATCAACCTAAACTAGGTAAGTTCCTTAATCTTGGAAAATTAACTTATTTTTCTTAGGGGTTTCTTCTTAACTAATTGTCCTTTTCAAGTCGATCAAACCCCTTAATTATCATAATTATTGATATGAAGTTCATTTATCACGCCTTATTATGACTTTCCGAGAATACTGAAGGGTTAACAGATGCGATGAACAATGGCTTGAGAGCCTTTAAATATGAGAGAGCAGCACTCAAAAGACTTCACAACACACTCTCTCTCTCTCTCTCTCACTTCTAAAACTGTCTCTTCAAACTTAGATCCTTAGTTCTCTTCTTCGTTTACTATGTCAAGCTCCGGAGGAAACGGAGGTGGCCTGAACTCGGATGATCAAAGCAACAAAGTTACCAGCGACCCCAATGAAACAGTTAGCTTACCAGTGAGCCTCTCTGTTCCCTGTGAAGATGTTGGCTCGGATGAAAACGTGAGTACACAATGTTGATTTCAACCGTGACATTAGTTACATTTCTCTCTTCATTTATCATATTGTATAATTTCAAAACTGAAACTCTTATGATTATATTGTTTGTTTTAATTTATATATAGCGCGGTTTTACTTGTATATTTCTTTTCAGTTGTTGGATATGAATCAAGAGCTTCTTGAAGAAATCGCACGGACGAACAAATTATATGTATGGCAAAGCAGATCCATATGTTATATATTTCAAACAATTAAAGATAGTATTGCACTTTTTAATATTTTGGTTTTGGAAAATTGATTTTCTTGATCGTACGTGATCCATTTGATTTTAGTTGGCTGAAATACATGTGGAGAATCAACAGCTTTCTGAAGAAGTTCTTAAGCAAACAATGAAGAATAACGCTGCACTTATAAAGCAGTCTAAATTTTATGATAAGATGGTAATTATATTTACATATATAGATTAATCAGTAGGCTAATTAATCAATTTTGATTATTGAGTTTATAATTTTATGATATATTATTTAGATACTTGAGACGATCAAGTCCATCAGTGCAAACTGCATGATGGCAAACCCTCCTGATATCAACGTGAATCCGGGCGGTAAAAGATTGTCTAGACACGAAGAAACCTCCGAAGCTGGATCGAAGAAGATTCAGAAGTTGAATCCAGAAAAAGATCGATCCTCTGAGGATCAAAAAGATTAATGTGACGTTTATTACTTATGAAAGCGTACGTAAACTATGCAGCATTTGAAGATCTCAGTATGACGTTTTATCACATTCTTCTTTTTTTATTTGCTACAAATATGATCATATTCTTGGAATTAATATTTACTAGATTTTGACCCGCGCTTGAAAAGCGCGGAAATTTTTTATGATTAAAAATTTATATAATTAGGTTTTGTTTTAATTTAAAGAATTTTTGGTATAAAATTAGTTTACCAAAATTTGTGGTGATAATTGTTTTTCATTAGTTTTTAGTTTCAGTTTTTATTTTTAGATTTTGTTTTAAATTTTGGTTTTTGGTTTTTAGTTTTTAAGTTTCTATTTTTGATTTTCAGCTTTTGGTTTGAGTTTTTAATTTTTAGAACCACTGAGTTAGTTTGAATTGATATTACCAACAAACAAATCTCAATTAATCGAACATGTAATTTAAAACTGAAAAGATGACAAAATAATTTTCTAAAAATTTAAAATAGTTTATTTTGTAAAAAAAAAAAGCAAAAAATATAAGCTGTGTTTTCAGCTTTTGGTTTTGGTTTAGTTTTTAGATTTGGTTTTTGGTTTTGCTTTACATTTTTTTTAAATCTGTAAATTATTTAAGAAAAATAAAACAATAAATTATTTAAAAGTTATCATTAAAATTTATCAAGATAGAGTGATTGTTATTTAAAATAAAAAATATTAACATGTTTTAAAGTACATGATTTAAATAAGTGATTAATAATATATAATTTTGTTTTGTTGAAAATATTAAATATTTTTGCGCTAAAAAATATTAACATGTTTTAAAGTACATGATTTAAATAAGTGATTAATAATAGATAATTTTGTTTTGTTGAAAATATTAAATATTTTTGGGTCTGAAAATAGTAATTGATTTTTGATCCATTAAGGTGAAAAGTTTATTTAATGTTTTTTGGAGTTTTTCTTTAATACTAAGCCCAAAAACCAAACAATTAAATGTCATAAAAACAAAAGTAAGCCCAAAACTCTATTCCATAAATAACCACCGGTTTAATTTAAGTAATACGGTTCAATCAACTATATAACTTGTATTATTTGTAACACTATAGAAAGGATTCAAATTTAAATGACAACTTGTATCAGTAGATAAAAATAATGACTCCATTTTAATAGAATACTAGATTTTGACCCGCGCAACCGCGCGGGTGTTTGTTTTCGTTTATAGTTAGTTATATAAACATTTTTTTCACTTGTAAATTGGTATATATTATAGTAATCAAATATCTATGATATGTATAGTAATTTTTTTTCAAACATAATAATATAATATAATACGTGTTTTAATCAAATAGATTGTTTCAAATTTTCTATATTATACATGTTTTTCAAACATGTGTTTGTTTCTTCTTCTATATTTTATTGTTTGTTAGATTAGTAATTCATTTTGATAAATTAATATAAATAAAGCTTGATTAAATATTAGTATACTTTAATTTGCAAAGATGATATAAACTTCGAAGAATTATTGCTAAAAACTAAACTTATAGATTCATAAATTAATATTATAAAGAATTTTATTTAAAAGAATTTTTAAAAAATTTCTTTTTTTAAAACAATATAATTTTAAAAAATTTCGTCGAAATAAATTTATCTGATATATATAGCGTGTAAATTTTGGTATGGTATATAAATATTCCATATTACTAATCTGTGATTTTTGTTAATATATTGTGGATGCATTTAACTATTATTGACATATTTCCTTAAAAATAATAGAAGATTCCTAAACTTATATCTATTGACATATTTTACGTGACTAAGTTGGAAGATGTGGGGTAATTTACCAAAACCAAATTGTTAAGCGTATCTTTGTTATTATAGATATAATTTTTCATAAGATATTATAATGATATAATTATTAGAGAGTTAATGTAACATAATTTTTTAGTAATAGTCATTTTTAAAAAAAATCACAAATGAAGTCAAGATATGACTTCTTTTTTAATATATAAGATATATTCGTAGAGAAAAGAAGATATTTGTTTGGATCCGAATCTGGTTTGTAAAGGTCCAATAGTATTATTTTTCTTTCAATAAAAGCCCAAATATAAACTTTACAGTGATGATCATTTTTCTTTATAAAATGGGCTTTAGAGCAGATTATAGCAAGGTGAATCACAGTTTGAGTCATCACACTTCACGGCTACGATTTAATAAGAGCACGTAGTCCCATCGAAGTTCGTAAGCAGGTGATTATTTTTCCCGCTAAAAAAAACAAATTGATTCGTTAAACCTTCCTATCCATTCATTAAGTTTAAAAAACAACGATGTAATTCTACTGTCCATTAAGTTTAATCCGACGGCTGATTTTTTTTTTTTTTTTTTGACAACGAATCCGACGGCTGATATAGAAACCAATTCTACAAGAAATATCTCTCACTCTTTTTCTTTATGACGCGATTATATAAGTGGTCCCCGGTTTAATTATCATTTACGTGACGGCCCCGTTATTCCAGCATCTTCTTTCGTCACAGTCATCTCTCTTCAATAAATATAACTATCTTCTCCTCGTCTTCTTCATCAATACTTTTCCTCATTCTCTGAGTTCTAGTCCCTTCGCTTTGGTGAGTGTTCTTCTCCGATTCTCTTCTCTATGTCTTTTCCATGTGAATCTGAATAGTTGTAGTATATCTATATATAGTCTGCTTAGTAAATTCGATTGTGATTCCTTCTCGTGATTTTGCTCGATCGATGTGTATTTTGTCTCTAGGGTTTTGTTGTAATAAGGGTTTTTAGTTAGAAAGGAAAGGTCTTTATCAGTCAAGAGAGTTTTTTTTTTTCTTACACGCAAGTGCTTGCTTGTTTGGTTGCTGTTTCGAGGGAGACTTTGTAAGACTAAAACAAAGTTTAGCACTTTAATTATGCGTGTTACCTTATCCATTCGTTATCTGTTTTGAGGAGGACTAAGTAAAGATTGTACCTTTTTTCTATTCTTTGTCACTTCGACCTATAACAATATAGATAGTTTCTTTAAAATATATTTTAGTTGACTAATATGGCATTTGATGAATAGGTCAAATGGGAATATACTCTAAAACGGTTGCTGTGTCACTCATTGTCTCGTTCCTGTTGTTTCTTTCTGCCTCTGCTGAGCGTAATGATGGGACGTTGAGAGTTGGGTTGAAGAAACTTAAGTTGGATCCCAAGAACCGTCTTACAGCGCGTGTTGGTTCTAAGCAGTTGAAGCCCTTGAGAGCTTACGGTGGTGGAGATTCTGGAGATGCTGATATTGTCACGCTGAAGAATTACTTGGATGCTCAGTACTACGGTGAGATCGCTATTGGTACTCCGCCACAGAAGTTTACTGTGGTTTTTGATACTGGGAGCTCTAATCTCTGGGTGCCATCGTCAAAATGCTATTTCTCGGTGAGCAGAATTGTCTATAGTTTCTGAAAATGAGGTATAGATAAATTTCAGATGAAAAATTTGATGTGTTCTGTCCGTTGTGTAGATTGCATGTCTCTTCCATTCCAAATACAAGTCCTCGCGTTCAAGCACATATGAGAAGAATGGTTTGTGCTCTCTCTATTTAAGACTTCTTTCCTGAACTAGTTATCAGTCTTTATTGTGGTCTTTAGTGTGGGATGTGTTTCTAAGGAGGTCTTTTGCTTAGCAGAGAATCTTTTTCACCTTTGTTTAAAGATGCAATATCTTTACTGATGTGAGCTATGATGTTATAATTAAGTCGTTCTTCTTTGATGCAGGAAAATCCGCTGCAATTCACTACGGAACTGGGGCAATTGCTGGGTTCTTTAGTAATGATGCCGTCACGGTTGGTGATTTAGTTGTCAAGGATCAGGTAAACTTTCTATCCTACCCTACTTAACACACTTTTATGTATATATGCTACATCATTGATCTTCCTTATCATTGTCTATCTTATCAGGAGTTTATTGAGGCAACCAAGGAGCCTGGTATAACATTTGTTTTGGCTAAATTTGATGGTATCCTTGGGCTTGGATTCCAAGAGATCTCAGTTGGAAATGCCGCTCCTGTTTGGTATGCTTTCATTTTTCTTCTCTTGATTGGGTTGAAGTTACTACATTTCTGTTGTTTATATCTCATACCATGATGTCTTGTTTTATAACAGGTACAACATGCTCAAGCAAGGCCTCATCAAGGAGCCAGTGTTTTCATTTTGGCTTAACCGTAACGCTGAGGATGAAGAAGGTGGTGAACTTGTATTTGGAGGTGTTGATCCAAATCATTTCAAGGGACAACATACTTATGTCCCTGTGACACAAAAGGGTTACTGGCAGGTTTGTTATATATCACTTTCTTGTCTTGTTTTGTCATAAATGTCTTCCATGGTCTAACTCGAGCCCTTTTTTTTGTGGGTAATAGTTTGACATGGGTGATGTTCTCATTGGCGGTGCACCCACTGGTATGTATAACATTAATATGCCTCGTTTTTTGTAGTATATAGCTAGCTGGTCCTAACCAGTTAAAAAGGTTTTACTGTTTATGTTTGCTTGCGACGACTGGATCTAAAGTTTTGAGTTGTTATACAGGATATTGCGAAAGTGGCTGTTCTGCGATAGCTGATTCTGGAACATCTTTACTTGCGGGTCCAACAGTAAGCACGAATCCGAACTGGTTCTAGTGGTTTCCTTAGAGCAGTATTGGTAATAATTCACTCTCTTTTCTTTCTTTGTGTAGACTGTAATCACCATGATAAACCATGCCATTGGAGCTGCTGGAGTTGTTAGCCAGCAGTGCAAGATCGTTGTGGATCAGTACGGACAGACCATTTTGGATCTGCTTTTGTCTGAGGTAAGTATGCTTATCAGACTAGCTAAGAATCTCTGTTGTGTATGCATTCTTGTTATGTTAATGAAATTGACTTACAGAACCTCCTTTGGTTTGCAGACCCAGCCGAAGAAAATCTGCTCGCAGATTGGTCTGTGCACTTTCGATGGTAAACGTGGTGTCAGGTAAATTCCCTGTGGCTTCTTTCATGTTATAGAGAAGCTATATATTATGGATATTACAACTGAGTCCATGATCTTCTTCATCTTGTTTTTCTTCTGCTTGATATGCTGTCTATTAACTTTGATTCTTCTTTTATTGTTTAGTATGGGAATTGAGTCAGTGGTAGACAAGGAAACCGCCAAGTCGTCCAATGGTGTCGGAGATGCCGCGTGTTCTGCATGTGAGATGGCAGTTGTTTGGATACAGAGCCAGTTGAGGCAGAACATGACTCAGGAACGCATATTGGACTACATCAACGATGTAAACAACAAGCACCTTTGATAAAATCTGTTATACAATTCTTGTTCGGCTCTTGTTTATTTGCTAATGTTGTTGGCTTTCCTGGACAGCTATGCGAGCGTCTTCCCAGCCCAATGGGAGAGTCTGCAGTGGACTGTGCACAACTCTCGACCATGCCCACTGTTTCGCTCACCATTGGAGGCAAAGTCTTTGATCTTGCTCCAGAGGAGGTATGGTTGAGAACAAGATTCATATCTCGTAGTGTTCACTTGAATTCTATCTCTGTCTAATCTCTTGGCATTGGTATGGTGTGAGCAGTATGTTCTTAAGGTTGGTGAGGGCCCTGCGGCACAGTGCATCAGTGGCTTTATTGCACTTGACGTTGCTCCACCTCGTGGACCTCTCTGGTATACACTGCAGAACAGTTTTCATCTCTTTTGTTTCTCTCTATATAATATTTGTTTCTAACTGAAACATGGTTGTAAAATGTGACAGGATCCTTGGAGATGTGTTTATGGGCAAATACCACACCGTGTTTGACTTTGGAAAAGAGCAGGTCGGATTTGCAGAGGCAGTGTAAAACACGAGTATGGTTTCAGTTTGGTTTATATGAACAGTTGGTTTCTCCAAGTGTTTGTATGTTGTGTGTTAAAAAAGACTCGAGTCGCAGTAGTAGTAATGGTGGCGTCGCTAAAAAAAACTAAGGCCTTTGTAGTTTTGAAGACAATGGCTTTGTATATACCTATGTTAAGTAAGTTCGATGTTGAAAAACTTGATAAATAAAAGTCTCTCTGCCTTTGTGGTTATTATATGTCTTGTGCAAACTTCAGAAAATAAATCGTCTATTTTCGTAGAAATATAATCAACGGTCAAATCATACATTGGATACAAAAGAATACACATCTAAAATTGACATCCTAAACTTCGTGCAAATGTTTTGTCGCAATGTGGTTCTTCTTTTATCCTACTCCAAGTTGGAGGATGGCCAGAGACGTGTCCACATTGCAATCTCTTCTTTACAACTTAGTTTTCGGATTCCTCCATAGAATCCATCTTCCTCGTTACCTTCCTCTCTATGATCTCTCTTGCTGATCATCGTTCTTCTCCACCTTGATCCCACTGTGTACTGGTTGAACTCCAACGCCACCGTCTCTGTTTTTCATCATTACTTGAACCATTTAGCACAAAATATGAATGCAATAACTCTTTTGAGTCTTTGACACAGCATCGATAAACAATTGTTTAGCCATATGATCAGGGGGTTAGGTATGATTAAGATGCAAATGGGCAAAACCAAAACCTTAAATTATTCTCATTATTTAAACTTTCTATGGTGATGCAATGTGCCAACAAAAGGATGAAGAGAAGATTTGTTTGGTGTGATAAACAGAGAATCATTGGTGACCACCGTTTTGGTAAAGTAGATTCCAAAGATGAGGACATAATAGAGCTTTCAACATCAGTTCAAGACAACACATTTATCAAAAATGTCAAGAAAAATCCAGACATGTCACCATCATCATCATCATTATTTGTCTTTTTGGTACCAATGCTGAAATTAGGTCTCTTCAATGTTCACACTTTTCAACTAAGTTTTGGGAATTTAATTGAGGAAATGAGTAAAAAACAGAACATGAAGAACTCACCGCTAAGATGGCAATGACAATGGTTGAGATCCCCATCACACGATTCCAAATGGCCAACGATACCATACCACCATCCTAACAACACACACAAGCTTGTTTCAGAATCATAGTATGTTCAAACCAAGTTTACAAACAAAAGTCATCATAGGTTTTACCATAAGGGAACTCTTTGTTCCTTCTCCACTGAATCTCAATGTGATCTCCAGGTTTCAACTCGTTTAAAGACTCTGACACATGAAGTTGATGAGGAGATGCCTCAAGGGGAGCTGCTCTTAGCCTCTCCCATGTCACTCCCTTCTCAATCGCAACTGCTCTTCTACCATGTGGTGGATACCTAAAAATCCCCAACAGAGTTTACTTTATATGAATGACTTGTGGTCAAATGTGAACATCAGATATATTATACCTTGCTTGAAAAGTATCAGTGAGAGTGTCATAGCTGAGCTCTGCATCATAGCATGACAACATGAACCCTACATGCCCATTCTGCTCTTACACCAAAACGTCACTACTTATTAACGATCAAATCTAGAAAAACAAATCAAGTAACTATGTTTATTACCTCACGGTTATAAACTTGAGCTGGGAACCAAAAACGACCAGTTTCAAGGGACATGTAGAAGCTCATGGTTGAATCAACAGGCAGAGCCTTCCTCTCTCTATTATCATCTCTTAAAACAGAAGAAATAGATCGAAGACAAGAGATAATTGTGTCAAACCCAAGAGGATGATGACCAGTTTGGTAATGACGAGGAGAATCAAGACAACACGAGGAAGAGAGATAGCATTTCCACTCTCTATGAGCAGCAGGGCCAATGATCTTTCCCCATTTGTTCATCAAGTGTTTCTCCCATAGATGATCACTCACACACCTCTCCCTCAAGGAGCTACAAACCATAGCCATACTAGAGAGTCCAGAAGGTGGAAGAAGATCAAGAATGCGGTCGAGAGCCAGGTCAGGGAGGTCAAGTATTGACATATGGTCTAGTGGCACAGGAGAGGCTAGATCAGGTTTTGTGGTTGGATGCAGAGTGTTGTTGGTGAAGAAGAGGTTCTTGGAGAGGTAGAAAGAGAGCAAGGTTTTGGTTTCAGATGCCCATGGAGGAAGAGATAAAGATTTGGACAAGAACAAGAAAGAGAGACATGAGATGAGAAAGTAGAGAAGCATTATTTGGTGTGTTTTTGCTTTTTTTGAATTGTTGTGGTTGTTTCTGAGAGTATAAATGGAAGGAGAGGATAGATAAATGACCAATAGGAATTGAGGGATTACCTAACCAACTTATGAAAAAACAATAAACAATTGTTTTTTTTTTTGGGAACTTGAAGCTGAATGAAGTTGCCAAGTTGAATCAAGAGAGGTATGGACCCACCAAAAACCCAGATGACAGGAAAGAAAAGGCTTTACAAAAATACAAACTTTTACAGACAAAACCGAGATAATGCGTAAAGAATGTGCCAATTACGCCGAAGGGTGTTGTTTTATTAATTCATAAAATCAATAAAAAGAATATTTTTAGAAAGAAAAAGGTCTAGTTGGTGTCATTGGGATTTCCAAGGGCAGTGGGAAGAAAGAGAATCGGATCTGGGCACCGAAATCAAAACATTCATTGAACCCAAAATCATAAACAAAGATTTTTAAAAGAAAAACTATAATTTATTAAATTGTTATAAAAACATAAACAAACCAATAAGGAGGATGCAGAAGAGGAGGAGCCTGAAGAGTTTGGCACCTAGGCTCCACCTTCTACAGAAGAAACAGATTTCTTTCTTCTTTTTCCTCCCAAACTCGATACCAGATAGACCAACAAAATATGCAAAAAATTAACTCTTTCTCTCTTATAAAACTCCATTTTTAAAAGATAATCTAAAATAGCAAAAAATTTGGATTATGATAAAGATGAGAGGCTACTGCTTATTTACCCTTTTTGTCAGCAATACCAAAGAGAAAAAGAGCAATCCAATTTCCATTCCATGTGTTACCACAACTTCCAGTGGTCTATTATTCAGTTATTCTAAAGCCTGCAAACATATTTACCTAAAACAAATAATGAGAAAAAGGAAAATCATCTTCCCCTGAGGCTAGGAAATGATAGCAATAGAGAGTTATAACAACTACAAGCTTGTATACCCGGTTTAGATGCTTGCACTATATCCAGTTATCTTCACTGCATTTTACCCATCATTCAGATGTTTAGGAAAAAAATTGCCTTACTTGCAATGAGCTTAGCAGCACGCAGCTTGTGCGGTCCCAAACAAATTAATACTGCACCAGTCCCAAACCATCCTTCCTGGTCTTCCACAACCATACTTCGTTGTCTCTGTCACTTTAAATCTACAACACGTCTCTACAGATCACTCCAAATGCACAGCCATTCTCCAACTTTACAGTCCTCAAGTTAATCATGACCAAGTACTACAATAGTTATCCCCTTCCTCTACTCTTAGTCATCTGCTACTCTTGGCAACCGTCTTACAGGATCCATGTTTCCTGAGCATCGTTGAATCAATTTGTCTGAATCTCCACCAAATTTTTTCCGACAAGTTCGTTCAACTTGGAAAAACGAATAACATCAAGTTTCGCAAAAAAATATCTTGTGTATGCAAACTCTTGCTATGGAGATGATTTTGAGTCACTCTTGCAGCTACTGTTGTAAGTATATGGAGAGTAATAAGAAACAGCTCGAATGGGCATCTGAGATATAGATCATTTGATCATTTCAACTTCAGCTAACAACACTCGGACAAAAAGAAACAAACCTATCCTTCCCTCTGATTTACTCCCATCATCTTCCATATGTTAAAACACAAGATTCAATTACCAAAACATCAAAGCACCCTATTAACAAACTCCAAACTGTCATATCACAAACAAGTCTTTTTAAAAAATGTTGGAGTAGAGACAGCCAGACAGGTCAAGTATTCTTCTTGATGCTTGAACGAGAAATTCTTGAATCCACAGCGTGCAATTGGTTTCGAAGATCCTGGTTCTCCTCAGACAACCGGTTAAACTCAATCAGGAACCCTTCAGATTGCTTTTGTAGTGCAATTCCACTTGTTTCTTCAGTACGGATTTCTTTAGACTTTGTTTCGATCTCAGACTCCAGCTGCTTTTGTCTTTCCTGAAGAGATGTGATTTCTTGTTTCAAGCTTTTGACTTCCTCTGAAGCTCTGGCTTTCTCACCTTCCAAAACCGATCCTTCCTTCTTTATAACTTCCATTGTCTTCCTTCTCATGCGTAGCTCTCTCATGTAGTGGTGCAGCCTGTCTATCATTAGCCCAAGGAAAAGAAACCCACCTGGAAAAATAACTCAGCTAAGGTTTTACCAAATGAACAAAAGAAATTTAAACTGAAACTTTGAAAGCCTATTTTCAAATACCAAAAGCTTTTATGGGACTATAGAGATACTTGCCTAGCAAATTTGACTGTAGTAAGTTGATACACAGCAGAACAAGAGCAAAAGCAATCACACCAGCAAGTAAAAACTAAGGTTCAACCAAAGCAGAAGAGGAAACATACCCATTGCGAATTTCAAATAACAAAACCTTTATGATACTTATTCCAGCACTAGCCTTTTTCTCAAGAGAGACTACTGTTAAAGTCACCTTTGCAAACTAATCACTCTGTTTCTTATTCGCAATCACAGCTCCAGTTACGAGATCGTAAGCAAGACAACAGAATCGCATCAACTATATGATACTTTCTAGCCAACTGAACTGTAGTAATTTGATACAGAGGGAGAGAAGAGCTAAGCAATCACACTAGCAAGCAGCAACTAAGGTTTACACAAAGCAGAAGACATAGTTCCAAGGCTAAAACTAAGCACTCTGTTTCTTACTCACAATCACGGCTCCAGTTACGAGATGGCAAGAAAAACAACAGAATCATATCAACTATATGATACTTCCATAGCCAATTTGACTGTACTAAGTTGATACAGAGGAGGAAAAGAGCTAAGCAATCATACTAACAACCAGCAACTAAGGTTTTATCTACAAAGCATAAAACATAGCTTCAAGGCTCGAACTAAGTCTCTGAAGAAGCCGATTTCAAATAACAAAAAGCTTTCTGGATACTTCCATAGCCAATTTGACTGCAGTAAATTGATACAGAGAGAGAGAGAAGAGCTAAGCAATCACACTAGCAAGAAGCAACTCAGGTTTTATCTACAAAGCATAAATACTTAGCTTCAAGGCTCGAACTAAGTCTCTGAAGAAGCCGATTTCAAATAACAAAAAGCTTTCTGGATACTTGCATAGCCAATTTGACTGCAGTAAATTGATACAGAGAGAGAGAGAAGAGCTAAGCAATCACACTAGCAAGCAGCAACTAAGGTTTTATCTACAAAGCATAAAAACATAGCTTCAAGGCTCCAACTAAGTCTGTGGAAAAGCCATTTTCAAATAAACAAAAGCTTTCTGGATACTTAAATAGCCAATTTGACTGCAGTAAATTGACACAGAGGAGGAGAAGAACTAAGCAATCACACTAGCAAGTAACAACTAAGTTGAAACTGAGACTGGATCTCTCCACATCAAATTTGATTGAATCAGATCAGTAACATCAGCGATTAAATTTGAAAAAACAAAAAAAAAATCAAAATCATCATCAGCCTATCTACTCTAACTACTACACACGACTAAGATCCATCACAGTGATCACAAGATTTCAACCTCTCCTTAAACCGGATCTCAAATTCTCTACTATTAATTTCCGGTTAAGACTTCACAGTACTAATAACGATCGTCTAAACCGGATCTAACCAGATAACCGATTAGCTTACCCATGAGAGTCGATTCAAGGAGATGTTTAGACATTAAAACCTCATCCGTCGGGTTCATTGCACCTTCCTCGATCCACCGCTTCTGGATCTTCATCATACTGTACACACTCGCCACCAGAACCACGCAAACCGTAACGGAAACGGTCTGGACCACCACCGGTCCACGTCCGCGCTTCGCGCGATCGAGACTCATGATCAGAAGCTTCCGAATCGGGGTTTTGAAAGAGAGCGCGAGTATCACCGCGACCTCGGAGAGTACAACCGCGAAGAGTAAGTGCTGCATCGTTTTTGATCGGGAGAGAAGTTTCCCGTCGGCAAATACGAAGAAGGAAAGTTCAAGTTTTCTTAACGAGGAAATAATAAGCAGACCTTTGCTTTTGAACTTTTGTTTATTTATTGTTTTAGTCCCTATATTTTAAATAATTTACCAATTTGCTCGATTGGTAATAACTTTGTTATGGTAGCTCAAACAATTCTCTAGCAGATTGTATTCAATTGAAAGTTTTAGGTATTTGTTTTAAAATGACAAATTCACTGTTATTTAAACATGAATTTTATTTAAAATTCAGTATTATTAAACTGGACATTTTATAAAATAATCTGAAATCTACTGATAATGAAAATCTTTTAAATTGGGGAGTTTTAAAGTTGTAAAGTGATTTTAAAGTGTTTATGAGAAGTTTTTAGTTTAAAAAATTAAATTCAAATTCCATAGTTTTAGGAGATATTCTAGAGTGGTCTAACAAAGATCACTTAAATCTCTACAACTTATTGAAATTATCTAAAATTTTATTAAAAATTAAATCACTTCAAATTTTAGATTAAATACATACCCTTAAAATATACAAAGAAGGAAAGTTGAAGTCGGCAGGTCTGTCATCTACCTACCTTTTTGCTTTTGAACTTCTGCAGATTTATCCTTTTTTAGTCACTAAAGTTTGAGACGGTTTACCAAATAGTTCGATTATTTCTATATTTGTCATTGTAGGCCATCCATGCACGTCCCTTGTCGTTAAAGAAGAGATGGAAATCTCTCTGCTGCATATGACTTGTTTGTAGTCCTTACAAGGCTGAACATTTGCTTGCATGCTTCGGTTTTCAAGAAATTTCTTGTAACAGCCAGTGAGTTGCACGATAGGAAGCTCTCTTGCTGAGCTTCAGAGAGCTATATTGGTTGGTCCAAGCGGGTACACCTTTTGAGTTCAGATTCTTTCTCAACCTCGATAGAGCCTTTTTGTTAAACAACCATACTTGCATTTGCTGAGTCTCGGATATATTGATAAGGTCTTTATGATAACTGAGCGCATGAAAGAGCGGCAATGTAAGACGAGCTGGCCTCGTGAATGAGATGCTAAGGTTATTGGCATCGATGAAAGATGCTTAAATGACAATAAAGGTTTAAACGAGTATATGCCAATATGACCAGTCTCTTAAAAGTTTGCATACTACAGAAGTACAAAATGTGTCGAAGTTTCTCTTTAAAAGAAAGAAGGAAGATATTTCGAGTGCCGGAATCAGGAGATGTGCGCCGGCCAAGTCTGCTAAATTACGAAAGTAGCCTTTGGTTCCTCCTCTCTTTACCATAGCTTGTTCTTGACCCAGAAAAGAAGGAAAACGACACCAAACACGATTGCTACTGGTGCCCATTTCCGGATCAAAGCCTGGGTTGCCATATCAAAATGTTTCAGAACCCATATGCAACCAAACCTTAAGCTATAAAACTAAACATGATCATAAGAAATGCGAGCATCTCATAAGGTGACGAATATACAATGAAACTCACCTGACGGTTCAAATCTTTAGCCTTATCAGCATATATACGAGATTCAGATGTTAGCCTACTCGACATCTCGCTCACCTCTGCATTTAACAAAACCAAGAAGAGGATGAGCATATTGCTCTGCTGATTATAACAAACGTGCACAACTACTGATTCGAAAACCGTAATGAATAATCATAAGAGAAAGAGTGGATAGGTCGCTTACGGTCCAGCTTTTCACCAACACCAAGGACTTCCTGCACATTCCGCGTCATTATCTGATGGACCTCATAGAGTTCATCATTCAACTTAGCTATATTTCGTTGCGTACGAGTGTCTTGGTACAGTTTCTTCGTTTTTTGTATGAAGGTATCTACAAGAAATAGAGTGAGAACAACAGGAAGCTCTGTTTCCATGACACTGAATGAAGACAGAAGAGAATCTACAGTACACATACCAAATTTAATAAAGGCATAAGGTCGAGCAGCTGTTTCAATGTTAGGTCCATTGACACGTTCAAACTCATTCCTGAGATCTTCCAGGTATTGGAACGCCAGTTTCTTAGGGTAAGAGCGGTCACACATTGTCAAGTAGCAAACACGTCCTTCTATGATGTAACTAAAGTTCTCTGATCAAGGAATAGCATATGGATATGTGTCTCTTTGGACGTGTACAAATAATCACACATGAGAAAAGTATTCACGACATGTCAAAACTAATGCAAGAAGACTGTGCAAACCTACGAGAGACTACATACATACAGATGCAACTCTTAATCAAACAATAAAATAAAATCTATCAATCAATAGGAAATGTTGAAAGGATACTGGAAGACGTAGGGGCCAGTTTCAACAGACATTCTTGAAGCTTCGTTATGACCTCTGGAGAGATTCTTGAACAGAGACTTGACCTGTTGCTTATACATGTCGGAATCTGGTAAGTCACGTCCATCGTCGAGTCCCTCTGCTAGAGGCAACCCGTCAGTAACACGAGCTATCAATGTCATCTTCACCATCTTGTCCCTTCTCCAATAACAAACTCACTACAATTATCATATAATCAAATATCTAATATCAAAAACTCAATTCAGAATCTAAATTTTCGATCACAAAAGGAAGGAAGCAATCAATACAAAATCTTCCATGATGTATATATATCTAAAACGAAAAACATAGACATGAACATGGAATTGAACTAACCTGATACGAGTATTCAAACGGCTCTTCTCGATTCAAAAGGATCTGAGAACCAGGAGATGGACGATGATCCAAAGGAAGTGAATTATTATTATTTTTATTATTGTTGTTGTTTTTTAAAAAGTTTTGTTGGTCGAAATGTTATTTAATTATGACAGATCTACGTTCTGCGTTACGAGGCCTCACGTGATTGGGAGCTTGCGACGTGTTTTTGTGACATGTCTTGATGACATGGCACGTTTTCCTCAATAACCGTTTTGTCAGGTCCATTAATTTTGAAATTGACACTGGTCCTTCTGATTAAACCGGTCGGTTTCGTGTAAATCAAAAACCTCTTTCTCTTCTAGAGGGTTTGAAACTAACTCAAATTCGTTAGCTTCTCCGTCGGAGAAGCTTCTCTTCTCATCTCATCACGTAACCAATGGCGAAAGCCATGGAACCAAACTCGAAATCCAGAAAAGAACTCATCTTGTTAAAATACGCCGTCGTCTCACGGCTTCTCGTTCTCTTCTTAACCATCTCGTGGCGGAGCTTCCTCAAACCGTACGATACATCCGCTGTACTAAACCCGCCTTGTCTGCATCACAGAGAAGTCACAGAAGACTCTCCTCCACTCAATGCAGTCTCGAAGACACTTGAAAACAGCGTCGTTTGGGACAGTGTGTATTTCCTCAGGATCAGTGAGTGTGGGTATGAGTATGAGCAGACTTACGCTTTCTTGCCTCTTCTTCCCTTCTTCATCTCTCTCCTCTCTCGCACAGGTAACGTTTCTGACTCTTTTTGGATCTCTTTGAGTTCTCAGTGATGAGAAAGATGTGTCCTTTTGGGTCAGTTTTGGCGCCTTTGGTTCCGTTGATTGGTCTTCGAGCTGTAATGGTGTTGTCTGGTTATGTTGTTAGCAACTTGGCCTTTGTACTTGCTGCTATCTATCTATTCAGGTACTATAATTTGTCTTAAGTCAAAGTCTGAGTCTTTTTATCTCTTACAAGTTTAAAAGCTTGTGTAAACAATCAACATTACATCAGTCTTTCCTAACAGAGTTTCAGTTATGATCTTGAAGGACACTGAAGCATCATTCAGAGCTTCAGTTATGTTCTGTTTCAATCCAGCGTCCATATTCTATTCATCAATGTAAAGGCCTTCAAGCAATGATTTTTTTTTTATTAGAATGGTAAAAATTTTCAATTTAATTAGAATGGTAACTAACTGAAGGTTGAACTACTTCTATGTGAATCTCAGATATTCAGAAAGTCTGTATGCTTTTTTTTCAATTGGAGGATTGTATCACTTGTTATCTGGAACCAGCAGTCTAGCTGTTCTCTGGTTTGCACTCTCTGGTTGTGCAAGGTCCAATGGGATTCTCAATGCTGGTTATATCTGTTTCCAGACTATGCATCGAGCATATGGAGCTTTATATCTGAAAAGGCGTGTTTGTGTGAGTGAGTTATACGTATTTCATTATAGGTTTAGAAGTTATGGTCTCAAGTCAAAAGATTTGTAATTCTTTTGGGGTACTATACTGATTTGTTTCTCTTCTCAGTTGTGTGTGCAGGTTCTAGTTACTGGATTTCTTCGATGTGTATGCATTTGTCTTCCTTTTGTCGCATTTCAAGCATACGGATACTATAACATATGTCATGGACGTAAGCTAGATGACTTGAGACCTTGGTGCAAAGCAAAGATACCTTTGCTGTACAACTTCATTCAAAGTCATTACTGGTAAGTTTGATCAATAACAAGTTTTCTTGTTCTTGCAAGTTTCCGTTTTATCTATTTGATTATGAGCCTTAAATTTCTCGATGACATGAATTGTGACAGGGGAGTAGGCTTCCTAAGATACTTTCAGTTTAAACAGCTCCCAAACTTTCTGCTCGCATCCCCAATACTGTCTCTAGCTGTGTGTTCAATTATAAGTTACATTAAGACTCGGCCTGAGCTCTTCATTTCGTTGGGCTTTCAAGCTACTGAGAAAGAAAAGAGATCGTCTGCAAGGCTTTATTCTCTGAAGGATGCACTTGAACCAGATGTTAAAACTTCATCAAAAGAAGGTACCATTATCTTCATTATGAAATTTCATAGTTCTAAAATTGATGGATCCTCTCTGTGTTTACTGAGTAGGAAACCGTGACATGAGGCAGAGAAAACCGAGCAAAAAGAAGGACGTGAGTGTCACCAATGCAGCTGCGAAATCCAACTCGCCAGACACATCAGGATACTTTTCAGCTGATGTTTTTCCATTTGTCGTACACTTGGGTTTAATGACAGCCACAGCTTTCTTCATCATGCATGTTCAGGTTACAATCCTCAAAATCATAAACATAAACATGTACTGAAGATGATGACATAAAGGTTTTAGTGAGATAGGTGTTCACTGTCCTCATGTGTGTGTTGTGATTATTGCAGGTTGCAACACGGTTCTTGTCAGCGAGCCCTTCTCTTTACTGGTTTGCATCTCATTTGATTGCTTCTCCTAGACATAGGAAATGGGAATACTTGATATGGTCATATTGTGCAGCCTATATCCTACTTGGCACTCTCCTCTTCTCAAACTTTTATCCATTCACTTGATTTAAAAAGTTTTCAGCATCTTGGTTGCTTCATCAAATTATCAAGACGTTGGTTTACCTTTCCTTACGGCAAAATTACCGATCACTTGTGGTTAGTCCAGAGAACCAACTAGTTGTGTTGTTTCTGCAGGATTTTAGCTCATTAATGGTTTTGCTCTGTTATTTGCTCACTGAGATCTCATTTGGCAAGGCGAATGATATCTTGTTTGCGACTTTTGTAAAAGATTTTGTACTACGAAATGAAGATAATGTTCGGTTTGGAGAGCAATACCCTCAGATATTATGAAATGAATATACAAATAAGAAAAAGAAAAGGAAACTCCCTTTCCATTATACAATTGAAGAAAAAGAGCACAACAAAACTCACCGCATGTGAACTGTATAATGTATGCCGAAACCTCAAATCATGAGTTACAACAAGACTTGCTTAGAGCTAACCTTAAAAGCTTATCTAAGCTTGGGTTTAATGAGCTCAATGCCTCCCATGAAAGGCCTAAGGGGCTCAGGGATCACCACGGAACCATCTTCTTGCTGGTAATTCTCCAGCAAACACACCATCATCCTTGGGACAGCACACGCTGTGGCGTTTAGAGTGTGCACAAACTTAGTAGCCGGAAGATTCGCTTTGCCTTTCTTAGAACCCGTCTGAAGCGGTTCAGATGGGCGGTAACGGATTCCCAGTCTACGGCTTTGGTAATCCGTGCAGTTAGATGCGCTTGATATCTAGTTCAGAAGTTAAAAAACAGTAAGTTCAGAAAAGAAACTAAGATTTGGTTCTAGTGATCCGACAAGATATGGGTTTTGTAATATCTACCTCGCCATATCTTCCCAAACCGGGCATCCATGCTTCAATGTCGAACTTGCGGTAAGCTGGAGCGCCTAAATCTGCTGTGGCCATGTCCAATGTCCTGCAAATAAGAACTTAGATTTCTGGAAGTCAAAACATCACATTCAAATTTCAGTATCTTACTTGAAGTGTAATCCTAAAGAAGTGAAGAGATCTTCTTCAATCTTAATGAGTTCATCGTGGAAGGTTTCACTATCCTCAGGTCGGCACAGGATAAACATTTCTGCTTTGCTGAATTGATGAACTCGGTAAAGACCTCTGCACAAAATCAAGAAATCGTGGATTTTAAGAACACCTATGCGTCTACTGAAGAAGCAGAGAGCAGGTAGAAGCTAACTTACTTGGTAGCGGCGCCAGCTGCACCAGCTTCAGTTCGGAAGCAATGAGAGAATGCTATATATTTCAAAGGTAGTGCTGATTCAAGAAGAATAGAATCCATGTGGATTCCTCCTACGGGAATTTCAGCGGTGCCAATGAGACATTGGTCAGTTCCATCTATAGAATAAACCTATCCAGGGAAATATAAATACTATTGGCAACAGACAAAAATAAATTTGGCTAATCAATAAGAACAAACACAAACGTATTGCAGGAACCTGAGTATTATCTCCACGAGGTTGGAAACCACATTTCTCAACAATAGAAGATCTCACGATCTCAGGGGTTGTTAGGGGAGTAAAACCCTTCTTCATGACTTCTGATAACGTCCAGTTAAGGAGGGCCATCTCCAATAACACTGCCTCATTCTTCAAATAGAAGAACTTTGAACCACTTACCTGGAAGAATGTAAAAGCAAGAAGGCATTTACTTCACCTCATATTTTTTGGATAAAATATACTCAAAATGTTGAAGTTAAGCTTAAACCTAAATACAATTGAACATTTTGAAAAAATTAGTTGAAAAAAAGTTTACTTTGTGTTTCAATGTAGGATCAATGGATACTGGCCCAATCAGCTAAAGCAAACATGATACCTATACATAGGAAAAGTGTATACCTCCGAAGCAGAGTCAAAATCAATGAGATCTAGATCCTTCCCAAGCTGAAGATGATCCTTGATTGGAAAGCTAAACTCACGTGGACTACCAACCTACATAAAAATCATGAATGTTTTAGATTAGTGTTTCACAGGAAAATGTCATAGTTAATGCAACAGCTCATGGTATTATGCCAAACTAACCACCTCCTTTCTAATAGCCGATGACTCCTCTCCACCAACAGGAACATCAGGGTGAGTCATATTTGGTATAGACCGTGCCACTTGTTGTAGCTCATCTTGAAGCTTCACGAGATCTTCTTCCAGAGTCACAAGACTCTCTTTAAGACTTTTACCTGAAGACCAAAAACACTCTCTTTTATCATCAACAAAAAAAAACACTACCTGACAAACCAAAAATGGATCCCTCGTTTTACCTTCTTCAACGAGTCTCTCACGTTCTGAAGGTTCAAGCTTCCCTTTCATCTTCTTAGCAACATTGTTCCTTTCCTCACGAATCCCCTCAACTTCCTGCTATCTGCAAGCATTGATTAGCTGAACCAAGAGAAGAAAGATAAGCTTTAATTCTACTTCTAAACCAAAGCCACCAGTACACTCAATGACTAAACCATCCCGAAACTAACAAAGACACAAGCTTTAGCAACTCTTCCTCTTCAAAGTAGTTACCTTTACATGTTTCCAATACTAAGGTTGAATTCTTGTTTAAACCAAAACCACCAAAACACTAACTATCCACAGAAACTAAAAAAGACACAATCTTTAACAGCTCTTCCTCTTCAAAGCAGTTAGCTTTACATGTTTCCATACTTAAAAATCCAAACTTCGAATTAAGCTTAATTGGTACAAACAAGAGAGAAGATTAAGAGTAACCTTCTGGAGATTGACCATGTTCTCGTAAAGCTCAATCACACCTCCCAAATCAGCATTCGAATTTCTATTCTTGATATTAATCTCCACCGCTTCCTTATTATCCCTTATCCACTTGAAGTCAATGGAAGCTTTCCACTGAGGCCTCGCAGCTAAAAAAAAAACAACTCGCAAACCAGTAAACGAATCAGTCTACGTTTTCAAAGAGTTTGACGAGAGTAAGAGAGAATAATTACCAGAAGATTCTGAAGATTGCGTGGCGGGAATCTCTTGTACGACGGCGGAAGCGGAGAAGGTCCTGATAAGGAAAGGCTTACGCGGGTGGACATGGCGGGAAAATTGAGCAAGTGTTTGGAGAGTGTTGGGAGGGATTGGTTTGAGGAAGAGGCGAGAGGTGAATGTGGAGAAGGTTAGAGGAGCCGTGGCGAGTCTTAATGTGTGTAAACCCATCGCCGGAGCTGAAAAAGAAAAAAAAAGACACGACACGGCTGGTTTTATTATCTGCCCTTTGCGTACTGATAACGAAACGTCGTCGTTTGACCCGAGAAATTGGTAAATGTTCTTTCCAACAGTGTGTTTAGTATAAAACAGTTCATCTACTCACACAAATGGTATAAAAGGATGACATAAATGATAACAAATGGTTTATATTGGAATTTGGATCAGGTGATTAAAAAACTTCTTACAAAACTGAAATATATACATTGGACGAAAACATTAAATCTGGTGTTATTCAATATGTATTTTAATAGAATTTAAATCTAAATACAATCTATTGTTATTCAATGAAGGATTTAAATTTAGTTTTTAAAATCTAGTGTTATTCAACTTTTAAAGATTTTAAAGTTCTTTATATTTGGATTGATTTCAAATAATTTTCTATGGATTCCTATGAACAAACATACTACCGAGATTTTAGAATTTATCAATTTAACTTTCTTAAAATTTTAAATTTTGATGGATTACAAAACATTAATAATTGATTTGAAACACTAATTGAATAACACCTCTAGACACCAATTTCACCAGTGTAATAGTAGGTCGCAAATATTAAATCTGAATATTGAAGATTTTGTATACACTCTATGGGTCCATCATGGTGACTTAGTTCAAGACATCTTGCACCTCTAGACATGTCAAAATGGGCTCAAACTAATGGATCAGTCCAAACCAATCCAATCCATGGATCTTAATGAGCCATAAATTTGGTTGCTAATGGATAAATGGATTTAATGGTTTAGTGGATTTAATAAGTTGGATTAATTTGGTTTTGTACCAAAATGGGTTAATGGTCAACCCAATCCAAACCATTTCAATCTAATATATAAAAAAAAAAAAAAAAAATCTTCACGATCTAATCTGTAAACCTTCGTTGAGAGTTTAGGACTTTAGGGTTTGTTGACGATCTCAAAATCTCAAAATCTTCACGATCTCTTCTCGATTCTTCGACGATTGTTGCTTGGATCTCGTCGACGATTGTGGCCTATCTCGTCAACTCTGTTGAAGTTATCAAGGTATAATCATCAATTGAAGTTCGACTCTAAGCTCTTGATTCTTTGACTCTAAGCTCTTGATTCTTCTGGAATTTCTCTTTGATTGTGTTGTGTATCTCTTTGATTGTGTATCAGTGTTTCTCTTTGATTCTTTGACTCTAAGTTCAATTATGGGTTCTCATCGTTTGATCAGTGCGGAGATTTGGATCATAGTTGTTCGCTTTGATTTGGGTTTTTATATTCTCTTCATAGCTCAGCTCAGCTCACAACAGATTAACACCTTGTGGTTTAGTTTTGTGGTTGAGGAAGAAGAGAACGTTCCTGAGTTTATGAGGGAATCAAGAGCAGCTCTTATAGAAATCAATAAGAAATTGGCTTTGAATTCAATTATGGCTAAGCAGACGCCTTGTATGATCAATAGAACCATAAGATGCTCTCGGGAGATGGGTATATAGTTTAACGTCTTATGATCAATAATTCGTTACCAAATTAGGTTGTAAAAAATTGTGTGTTTGATTGATGATCTCACTCAACAAGAGTGCTCTTTAGGATTAAACGGAGAAAAAGTTTTATAAACCTTTCCCTCAGATTCCTCCCTGTGTACATTGGTGACAATGCAATCAAGTTAGTCATCTTACAAAAGATATGATGAAACTACTGATATATGTTAACTGGA